GGGATATTGCTGGAGCGGAACGACGTCAATCCCGACACAGCTGACACTAAGTGCGGCCGAACACCGCTCTCGTGGGCTGCCGGGTATGGGTTTGCGGAGATTGTGAGGATACTGCTGGAACAGAACGGCGTCAATACCAACACGGTTGACAAGAGGCGCGGCCGAACCCCGCTCTCATGGGCTGCCGGGTATGGGTCTGCGGAGGTCGTGGAGATACTGCTGGAACAGAAAGGCGTCAATCCCAACACAGCTGACGCCGAATATGGCCAAACGCCCCTCTCGTTGGCTGCCAGGTACGGGCATGAAGGAGTCGTGATACGGCTACTGGGATGGAGCGGCGTTGATCCCAAGATAGCTGACAAATGTGGCCGGACACCGCTCCAGTGGGCTGTCCAGAATAAGTTTGAAAGAATTGCAAGGCTTCTGCGAGAGCGGGCGGGCTCAATTCCTGGTTCCGTAGCAAGCCCGCAATTAACCCGGCTCTCCTCCCTAGAGTCTTCGGAGTCATCTGAACCCCCTTCCAAAAGGCCCCGCAGGTTTTGAGCTTCAAGGCTAAAACCCGGCACTTCTCGCTCTACCTACCAGACGCGCCCTCCCAGTAGCGGAGCAAGGTTGACGAAACGAAAATCCTGGGCCTGTCAAACAGAACCTTTTATATACGGATGGACGATTCACCTTGGCAAAACTTCGGATCACTCGTTTGCAATGTCCGGTTCCTGGTTGCCCCAAATTACCCAATCTCATCCCGTATTTCTTGTGGTCTTGTTTTAGTTTGGGTTCTCTTTAGCCAATTTTGTATATATCCATAGTCTATTAGCACCCCTCTACGCTTTCTTCTCTCTATATACAGCCTAATAATCTGCTTCTTCGCACGCCCATTGGGTCAGGGCATTCTGACCCTCCCAATGATTGAATTTTCGTTTACTTCCTTATTACAAAACTCGGAGGGTGACCGGATCGTATTATAAGAGGGTGGATAGAAGCTTCACATGTAGAGACATGAATTAGATATATCCATGCGTACAAGTACTATACACATGAAAGTGGGCCCTCCGATTGGGAAGAAGGTCCCAAGGTATCTACAGAACTCCACAACGCCGCATACCCGGGTTTTGTGGAGATAACAGTTGCTTCACCGGGGATGAATAAATGGGACGTGTGGGCAACAGATCTTGTAAGTAACACAGCAACTGCCCGGGCTGCTACGATATCGTATCTTATTTATCACTCCTGACGCCGCAGTGTGATATGATGATATGATACCACATACACTAAAGAAAGCGTCCGGATACTGGTAATTTACGGGTATCGAGGTCTTCCATACAAGTTACCTGAATTGTAAGATTACCGTATGATACTGTCCCCAGAGTGCGGTACTGTACTCGCAGTCGATCATTACAAGCACAGAATACATCACCTGAACCGTAAAAAACTATCGAAGGTGGAAAAAAGACACCCAGTTGCACAACCCACCGGCTAGGTCTTAAAAATTTACATCCACTTCAAGTATCACAGTATGATGCTATAAGTTACCGGTGTGATGCCGTAATTTACCGTATGATAGACTACCAACCCCCCCCCCCAAATCAACCAGCTCCCAAAATCCCTAACCCACCCCACCACCGCCAAGACCTTCGAATACCCAACCGGGAAACTAACCAACCAACTAACGTAAATTAGTTTCTAATCAACCACCACAATCATCACCTCAACCACTACCACCCACAACCAATCCAAATCCAAATTCAACCATAACAATGCCCTCGATCCTAACCTGGGCCCTCTTCGGTACCTTCCTCCCCCGCGCCTTCGACCTTCTCAATCCCACTAACTGCTCACTATACGAACAGGCGCCGCAACCCGCTGGTGGCAGCTCGGCATAGAAATGCGCCCCTTCCTCGCCCGCGACACGGCGTGGGGATATCCGGTCTTCGCCGCGGTCAGTGGGTCGTTCGGATACTGGCTGAGTCAGGTTGACAAGCGGCAGACGGAGATTCTGGCGCGGAGGCGGGAGAGCTTGCTGGAGAAGCGGAAGAGAGCTCGCGAGCGGGAGGGGGTCTCTACGGGTGGGAGTATTCCGGCGGTAGCGGCGGCTGTTTAAATTGGGGTATATACGTTATGGGTGGCGGTATTGCATATACGTTTGTGGACTGGATGGGATGGGATCGGATACGATAGATTTGGGGGAGGAAGGGAATTGGGGGGATATCATGGGCCAGAAACTACAGTTACCCTTCGTCATTCATTCCCGGCTTCGGTGCTTCTGAGGTGAACTAGATTCTTTAACAAAAAAAAAAAAAAAAGGCGACATACACTCTGAATACGTTGTACGCCATGGTATCCCGCGTAGCAAACGACAGAAGACAATAAAAACAGCAGCCCCTGTTACTACTACCACTCCAAGGCTACTGCAACAAATAATAATTTACGCAAAGCTGATACTCCAGTCCTTGGCAATGCTAACCTTTGGATCCCTAACCATGGCCGTATTGGCCCTACCTCCCCTACCCTCGGTGTAAACGATCTTTGCTTTCCAAGACTTGCTACCCTGCTTTACCTCCACTTCCCTCCTCGTAGCCCATTCCTTACCTACACCGACGACAATGATTCTCTCCACCCTCACGGACCTCATAACCTTGTTGTAGGCTGCGGCCTTTTCCGGCTCCGGGTGAAGATTTGCCGAGCGGAGGGCATTATCTCCGTGGTTGAACGTGAAGGCTCTGTGAATGTATGCGCCCGATTCATGAGCATATGTCTCACCATCGTCGACATAGAGAACACCACCAGCGGAACCCTACGATCGTTAGTAAAAGCCCGCGTAATTAACTCACTGAAATTAGAAGCTTACCTCGCTGCTTACTGAAATAACCAATGTGTATGGGTCATACTTCATTAAACCCGAACTTCTCCTTGGCCTATCCTTTCTGGGAATAATATAGCCGCCCCTCATAAAAAGCGGAATCTTCTCAAGAGTTGCAGGAACCTCGTGGTGCCCCTTCCGGTGATACGCGCTGAAGTCAAAGTAATCATAGTAGACCTCATCATCGGGGAAGTAAATGGTAGTCTCGGTGGCGGACTCTTTAACCACTGGCTTGGCCAACAGACCAGTATCGCCCAAGAAGAATTGATCGTCAATAGCAAAGCCAGCCTCGTCGTCGGGAAACGCGACAAAGTGGGGTCGAAGGATCGGCATGCCTTGCCAGCTCGCTCGCTGGAAAGCGGTATACCAGGCGGGAAGGAGGGAGTACCGGAGGCGGATAGCATCTCTGATGATTGAAACGTATGGTTCACCTGCAAGATACGGCTCTCTTCGCTTGGCGTCAATGTGGGCATGGCCACGGAAGAACGGGTAAAAAGCGCCGGCTTGATACCATCTAGTCAAAAGTTCTTTAGACGGATTGCCAAAGAATCCTCCAACATCAGCTCCAGCAAAAGGGAATCCGGCGATGCCGTTGGCCAACAACATTGGGAACGCCTGCTGCAAATGAGCCCAATCGGCCTGATTATCACCAGTCCACATAGCAGCGCTCCGTTGACTTCCAGCGAAGAAGCTTCTGGTGAGGACAAAGGGCCTTCTCTCCTTCCCATTGCCTAATCTGACCTTCAAGCCCTCATATGTGGCATTATGAAAAGACATTCCGTTGATGTTGTGGACGTCTCTATGTTCCCAATTGCCATGATGGATGTTGTCTTTTGGCATGGTAGTTTCTGGTCCGTTGAAAACAGAAGGCTCGTTCATGTCATTCCATATCCACAGATTAGGAGTAGATCCAATATATTTGTCGAATTTGAAGAGCGTCTTCCACCAATCAACGGCAGCAGGATTAAAGCAGTCCACCCAATGAGACGATCCGGGCCAACACCACCCCTCGTACACCTTATCGCCACCTTTATCCTTGACGCCAAACCCCTTGTCAACCATCTCTTTGCCGACGGTATAATCTCCGTCATTCTTGATATGCGGGTCAACGATAGCGACGAGCTATTCAGGTTAGAAAAAAGCTCCCCGGGTATGTTAATAGAGGAATCGAAGATACCTTTCTATCTCTCTTGGCCAATGTTTTCTGCATAGACTCCGGCTTCTTGAATGTCAACGGATCCCAAGTAAAATACTTCTTGCCATCTGTATGCTCAATATCTAGCCAGATAACGTCATAAGGAATGTCAAATTTATCGAACTTCCTATCAACATCCTCGACATCATCTTGAGAGACGTAGTTCCAGCGGCATTGGTGATAAGCAATGGAGAACATTGCAGGCAAAGCGGTGAAACCGGTGAGTTCACCGTACTGCCTATAAACCCAGATCGCATCCGGACCAGGAAGCACAAACACATCCAGGAGACCACTCTCAGATATCCAATGAGTTTGTGTGGACGCTTTCTCAGTTGTCAAAACATGGGGGCTTTGTTTAGTTTTAACGACATCAACCCATGTTTCGGCAGCGGAAAGCCAAAAAACTCCGACAGCGGAGCCCTTCTTTTGTGCCTGCATGAAAGGGATGGAGCCATAAAGAGTCATTGGGGAATCGGTCTCATATTCGAAGACATCGGCGTTATATAGGCGGTATGGCTCACTGTAGTGGCCCTCTCCTCCCCGGGTTTCCTTGAGCGAAAGGCTAGTAGCATGTTCAGGAATGCCGTACACGTGATCGTATCCCGGGAAAGTAATGTCCAAAGCAACGGATTCAGGGCCTTGGTATCGTTAGAGGAAAAAACAAAACAGTCGAAGAGTCGAAGACGAGAAGGCGTAGGTATTACCTCTGGGTTTAGAATCAGTGTTTCCACCAAATGTCTCCTCCCAATAAGTCTCCTCATCCTCGGTTGGCTCTTCTCCTTCGGGCTTCTCAATCTTAGGTCTCCAATGCTCAACATTCATGAGATTCCTGTCATTAAGGACAACATAAACTTCCCCTTTCCTCAAAAACTGAACACTAAAGGGTTTATGCGTAATCCGTGCTTCATAGTTATCTGGACCGTAAACAACAGTTGTGACCCCCTCCTTTGTCTCCATTGTTGCAGTCCTCTGGCACTTGTGGCCCCCAACCAGCGCCCATTTCCCGGCTTCATTATAGCGTTCCTTCCTAGCTTTACTGTCGTGCCTGAAGGTGATCTCCCCCGCTTTTCGCTGAGCCTCGTCGATAGTCACTCTTGCAATACCGTTCTCAAGAAGCGAGATCTGCAGAGGAAGTTCAATTCCCCCAGCCTCTGTTTTCCATATTTTGCCCGTCAGGACACCGTCTTTCAGCTGGAGGGTCTTTTCATCGAGCTCGTATGGTGCGGTCCACGAAGCACCGGCTGCTTGAGCTCGGTCCGCTAAGGCACGATTACGCTTGCAAAAGCCGGATTGCGAGCAAGTTTTGAAGTTCTCGTGTTTGACCAACTGAGCAGGCTGAAGCAGTGAGAGGAACGACAGAATTAAGACAGGCGTTGACCGCGCCGATATGGGCCGGTACCGCATGCTGTGTTGGTACCCCTATGACAAGGGAATTCCGATCGAGGAAAAAGTCCAAGGAAAAATATCAGGCAATCGAACCCTCTGAAACTCAGCAAAGCTAGACTGGAAACTGCAGTAGCTGGTTCAGGAGAGAATTAGGTGCACCTTCCTTCTTCTGTCCTTTCAGTGTAGAGCTGGAAACAGCTTCACGAAAGGTGTCCAAAGACACCTATTCCACTCCCCTAACCCTGCCAAGGCATATCATTCCTGTTACCCGGACAGTCCTATCCCTTGGTCGCTCTGAAACAGTCAAATTCGTAGACGGGCACACCTTCCTCCAGATCAGTCAGCAGCTAGCCATCCCGGGTTACAATGTACAAATATTGGCCATTCAAAGTCCAAGCGACTCATGAAACATTGATTTTCCAACGAATCACAGCAGTCTGAATCCCCCAAGACATGATTTGGTGTGCCTGGAAACGAATTTGACGACCGATACCTTTGATAACGACGGTGGCAGGGAAAGGGTGGCTAGTGCCAAAACTTACCGCAGGAGTATGAAAAATACGGTACCCGGGCACAACAGGAACGTGGGGGTATCACGTGCCTAGAGCATCGGGGTCCCATAGCGCTATCAAATGCTGAGAAAGAAAAGACATCCCAAACCTTCACAAGCTATCTTTATGCCAACTATCCACAGCCATCGATATTTAGAATATGTCTTTAAGTCTAGATAAGTTTTTATGAGTTTATCTATACGACTACATCGTCTACTTTCACAGCGGCTTCTACCACTGCGATTTTCTAGCAATTTTTTCCTCCGCAGCCAGGACTTTGAACGTCATAGTATGACGAATCTTGCTTCTCCCACGATGGAATCCGAAAAGGTACGATACCAGGTGAAGAACACTATTGTTTGCGCGTTGCCCTTGCCCCAGCTGGCACGTTTCCCATATGCTGCTCCCCCTTACCCCCACCATTCACCCTCAACCCCCTCTCATCCTTACTGCCCTACCTATCCTCATAACTCCCACCATTGAAAGCTGTTCACACTCTCCTTCCCCATCCCTCTATGGTTTCCATTTCCCCCCACACACACAAGTCTTGCCGTGACACATTTCTGCCGCACAAGCCAACATGCAAATACGTCTACAGTTTTTCGATGAGGAGGAAGAGGTCTTCCTCATCGACAAGGACAGTCCTTTGCATAACCTTGTCCCTCTGAGGACCCTTCAAGAGATTAGAGCTGCCGTCGAAACGAGTATTCCCCCCCAGCTTCCCTAGCACCAGCCACGTTTGTATATTGCCCACCCAGCAGCTGCTGACTGCTTTCCAGTTGATGTTTTCACAGTTCCTATCCCTTCCAGGTCTGCCAATGCGGTTCTATCCTCTCTCAGAGCTATAGTTCCAACCTCTCTTCAACACCTTCGCCGTTTGGTCAAACCGTGTTATATCCCAGACTCACTAGTAGATTTCCTCGCTGTGCCTCCCACACCGCCGGAGGAAAACATTTTATATCTCCTCGTGTGTCCCGTTACCGATATTTCCGAGGAGAATCTGAGTAATTTTCTTCGGGAACTTCCAGCATTCTCAGCTACCGGCGCAATTCCCCGAATTATGACTGTGGCTGTCCCTTCTTCTCAGCCTATATCAGCCGCCCAAGCAACCGAATGGTCAGCCAAGTATTGGCCCGCTGTTTATAAGCGCGGAAATCCCTATGGGCCACATCCCTCCATTGTCTCTCAAACCCTCAGAGGGCTTATAGATCCGGAGAACCATATACTGCTTGCCAAGCGGATAGCAACAGAAACTGCATCCTCCGGAGAAGGTCTAGGTTTCGGTGCTGTTATTGTCGACCCCCAGACGGGACAAATTTTAGCAGCTGCTGGTGATGCCAGACTCCGCTGCAATGCGAAGGGATGGGGGAACCCTCTCGATCATGCAGCCATGAGAGCCATCGATATGGTCGCCCAGAGGAGGTTAGGCAGAACCCAGAATGTTAGGCCAGACAACAAAGTTGAAGTCTGGAATGGGGTATATCTCGAGGATGAGGGAGCACCCACCAAGATCGTCGTGAAGCTTGATGGAAATTCCATCATTAAAAATGAAGATAAAGATAGAAATGCCAACGGAGAGGACGGAAAAGAGGTTGACGATAGGAGGGACGACGGCTATTTGTGTCATAATCTTCAGGTGTACCTCTCCCACGAGCCATGCGTAATGTGCAGTATGGCGCTCCTTCACAGCCGTGTTGGGTCCGTGGTATTCGGAATGAGGATGTCTAGGACTGGAGCACTCAATGCAGAAGCTGGAGGGAGGCAAATGGGTCTTTTCTGGAGACCCGAGCTCAATTGGAAGTTTGTATGTTGGCAGTGGAAGGCGGGTCCAGGAGAAGAAATTGAATCCCACGAAAATGTAGATGCATAAAATGTTGCCCAAACCCGGGGCAGTGCATCGACTCCCGTGATTAAGCTTTGCTTTGGACCCCTCCGCGGTTCTGTTATAGAAACCTTGGCGTCGTTTATGTTGATGATAGTCTATCATTGGTGTAATTTGTTTTCCTCTTGCGGGCAGAGCTCTTCACGCTCCTGATTTGGCGTGATACAGTACAACCAACAGAGTCTAATTAAGTACAATCCAATCAGCATGTTAACTCCCGTACTCGAACGCCGTGATGAGACGCAAGTTTATGTGATTGGATCCAAAACCGGTCAATAACAATCAACCCAAAAAAGAAAGTTAAGGCATGGGGGTGATGCTAGTTTGCGATGCGTAATTTCCGTACCGTAATCGAGCACTTCACCGCAGCCGGGAGAAGAAGAAAAATCTCGCACAGGCGGTCAAGGGTGCTCGGACCAATCTGAAGACTGTAGTGTGGTATGATTTCGAATACCAGCGCTCCCTGGTGCATGCATTCGAGTGTCGTATCCACATCCGTTCGAGTTCGGAGTTCAGGAGTGATGCGGGCCTTGTAACAGGAGGGTGATTTTTTCCCCCGGAGTCGAGTGAGAATGAATGAATGAATGAATGAATGAATGAATGAAATGAAATGAAATGGGACAGTTACCGCTGCAGTGCATCAGGTTATGATACGGCACCGGCAGCGGGGTAAGCTCGTGAGGATGCAATGTATGATAAGTTGCCCCAACGCTCAAAGAATTTGTGCGTGTTCCAGTCATGGGGCTGTGTGTTGCCTGCTGCGGTGAAAGGCTCGACCGCTACGGTGCCCGCAAAGAGCGATAACATGCCCGAAAATAACGGATTTAGAAACGGTCCTTGCGATACCCGGTGGCGGTATCTTGGCGGCGTTGCAAGCAGTGACGATACCGTACGAGTACTGTACTCGAGTACCGGTACCATACTGGTACATACAGTGCTCGAGTGCAGTACAAGTACATCATACCGGCATCATACCGTAGTTGTATTCTCTTCTATTATTAATAAAGCTATTCCCTCGTTACCGTACCGGTTATCGACGAGTCGCCCCCGCGGTATTTGGCTCGGGGCAACAAACGGGGATTGGAGAGCCTTGATCCTGGCGAACAGAGTAATAATAATAGCGCGATGGGCTTGATCATATGCATTGCCAGCGTGTCAGCCCTCCATCTCCGGGGCAGGCCACCCTCATCACAGCTGCTAGAGCACTGTTGGGCAGCCATAACGGTCCATACCGGTAGTCTACCACACGGTAAGGTACTCGAGTACCGGTACAGTACCGCTGAACCCTCCATTTCGATTCTCCACACACACACACACCCTCTCTCTCTTTCCGTATCGCCTGCCCCACCTCCTGCCGTAGGGCATCGTACTGGCACTATTGGCCCCTCACCTCCCTGCCCATCTGGAAAAACAGCCAGTTACCCGGAGCCCCCAAAGTTCACACTTTTACCACTTCTGTCATTGTCTCGACTTCCCCCCGGGCTCAGCATCTGCCCGCCTCTCTTCGTGACTGGGAGATTTTGAGAGGTTGACTTCATTGTTTGTGTGTACTGATACTTGTACATGCTTGCCTTTTCCGGTCTCGGACGTCTTCGGGGGCCCGTGAGTAAGTGATAGAGACGTAGCCAGCACGGCTGCCTGTTTGCTTGTCTGTTTGCTTGCCTGTTTGTTTGTTTGTTTGCTTGCCTGCTGCTTGCTTGCGTGTCTCTCTCTACCTCTACGAAAGCTGGAACTGACAAACAGGCAGCTCTCCCTTCTCCGCTTGGCTGGCCATACTACTTTCCCCCCTCCCTCCCCCACTTGAATCAATCAATCAATCAATCGTTCCCCCTCCTCATTCATCAAACCCTCCCTCCCCTCCATCCATCTCTCTCTATCCCTCACATCCACCATCAATCCACTGCCTTTCTTTCCCACCCTCCTCAATCTCTGATCGGGCTCCTGCGGCTTCTCCTGCTGTTGCTGTTGCTGTTGCTCCTGCTTCTGCCCCTTCCGCCCTATCTTGTCCTCTACAAGTAGTTCTGATTCGATATGCCTGACTCCTCCCCCGACAGTTTCGACGCACCTGCAATCACAACGGAAGCCCAGTCCTCTCTCCTGCGTATTTCCCGCCGGCATTCGCTCCCTGCATCCACGACTTTTTCAAATATCTTCTCGCTCTGGGGCAACGATAATGATCCCGCTGCTCCGCCCGGCCGCGACCACTACGACCATCAGAACAACGTCAATCAGCAGCAGCAACAGCAGCCCAATTCAAACGGGGCTCCACGCATTGTGAATGGAAATGGAAGTGGGGTGGGAGGAAATAGACACAGGTATGGACATCGTCATACCAGAAGCGCGGTGGTCGACCAGCCCGTCATTGTCAAAAGCTATAACCCTGGGCCAGCTTCTTCTAGCATCGCGTCCCCGATCCACGAGGTCCGTTCAATCTTGTTTTCCCCGCCCTTGCTTGAATGATCCGGGGAATGGAATGTTGATTCCTTGTGCAGGAGGATGATCTGGAGAAGCTCGTGCTTCCATCCATAGACTCCTTTTCCTTTGACGGCATTCTTAAATCGATCGAGCCCGAAGGTCGGTAATTACACTTTTGGTTTCACTTTTTAGTCGGGCTATTATCCCTAACACCTTCCTTCCTTCCCCCAAATGTATAGTCACGGGCGCACTGAATGCCGTTTCCCGCCTTTGCTCCGAGTATCAATCGTCCTTGCAAACCGAAGTTGACGGGCTTGTCGAGGCCCAGTCGCATATCGATGCGCGAATGAGGGAGGCCGATAAGCTAACTGCACAGGCATTAAAGACTACTAAAATTCGCACTGAGCGTCTAGATTCGGAATCATCTGGTTTGAAAGGAGGTGATTATTTGATCTCAACGGGATTCTCACACAGGGTTCTAATGTTTCCTTTGGGCGTTCAGGAAGTGCTGTGGATGCGTTAGCGGAAGCCGCAGAGGCTACCCATACTACATTAACATCTATCGTTACTACTTTACTAGCCATCGACGAGATGCTCCCGGCACAAGAGCGCTTGTCGCCCTTAACTTCGGCGCACAAGAAGCACTACCCAAAGCTGCACGGACTTCTTGCGGAGAAGGCTCATGAACTCAATGTTCTTTTTGGGCCTGGTAAATCAGCTGAGACGACCGTCATGCCCAGACACTCCCGGTCTGAAGTTGGCGAAGCTTCGTCGTCAAGAGGACATGAAAATTCGGTATGGACGCGCAGGCGAATGTCCTCGATGCCAACTTCGGAGGTTATGCTCAACACTAGCGGGCCAGCGTTGACCCACTCGAATACCTTTTCGCTCCCCCGAGGCGTAGCTTCACCACATCTTCAACTCCGCACCGTTCTTCCCTCGCCATCTTCGCCCGCCCCCGACCCGGGATCTGCGTCCGCGGGCTATTATTACCCAATATCCCCGAAAGCTGCAACTTCCATCTCTCTTACAAGCCCCACCGGCCACAATATTGCGCCCGTTTCACCCCAGGTCAACAGGAGACAGTCAGGTTTATGGGGACGGCGCGCTAGTGCCTCGGCATTGACCCACTTCCCCGAAGACGCGGCAACGGGAAGAACAAACACCCCAACCGCCGAAAGCAGAGGATGGAGACGTTCGGGAAGTTGGGGTGGACTTTTTGGCGGCGGAGGAAAGCGGAGTTCTTTGTTGTCAATAGATAACGGTAACGAGCCCGACGGCGCACAAGAAAGGCTTAGAAGAGTGCTGGAAGCTGGTGCCGATAGCCGAAGAGGAAAGGGCAAAGCTGTCGTGCCATAAAATATTGATCGATCTTCATCTCACGTTTCTTGCTCAAAAGAAAACCGGCGAGTGGGTGCTTGCGCCGTCTAGCGCCATCCAGATATACGAACGCTACGATTTTACGAAGAGGGTTATTTGAATTTTATTCTTGTGCGTCTGCTTTGTCTTTTCGCTCTCTATATTCCCTTGCATCACTTATCAGTTGTTTATATGCCTAATACCACTATCTTTCATTTTCCCCGGTCTTGTCGGCATTGAAACTAGGGAGGCCTAACATTATTGGAGTCGGAGTTGGAGCTGGATCTGGGAGATGTTGTTTTCTTTGCTTCTGACACCACCTGGCTCTTTGTTTTTGCTTGTTTCCCCAAGCCTGTGAGTGGGTCTGGGGTCGCAATTGGCGTATTTTGGGTCGGCGGAGGGACTGGGCACTGCTATTGCTGCTCGAACGTGCTTAACAAGTTTGTGGCGTGTGCGAACTGTGTGGCATGACTTGTGGAACACATCATTTGATCATGGAGGATCACTTGGGGGATGAACATTGGGAGATTTCGAAGTCTTTCTCCCATTCAGCACAGAATATTTCATGCATCGCGCTCCAAGTCTGGAAGTATACCATCTAGGCTACCAACACCACGATTGGGCAATGCATATGCATTGCTCACGACTATCACTCTTATGAGAGCTAGGAAAAAATTACGGGCAGAATATGCCGTTATTTTCAACACCGGCTCCAACCAAGTGCGAAGTGAGTTTGACAAAAGTAAAGTGAACGCGCAACAATAGTTTGGCCCTAATCAGAAATAATTGCAGCGAGTTTATGCCCTTCGTGAGAATGGACTTCGAGACGGTCGAGTAGGTCACCAACTCTAATTGACCAATTCCCACCCTTCCACGTTATTCCTATTTCTGTAAGTCTGCCCAGACTCTCATTCCTATACGGCTCTCAACGCGTAGTTCTGTTCTTGCACTGTAGGCACTGGATGAATTCCCCCCGGCTTCCAACCATACAAACCGACCATGCCCGAAAGGCTAGTAAGAGAGCATTAAGAAAGTGGGGTTGTGATGGGCTTTATAAGGGACCCGCCCTGCAGCTTTCCTCAGGGCTCGCCCCTCTACTTAATCCGATACCATCTTTCAATGCGATATACTTCTCATCTAGGAGTGGAAGAAGCCCGAACAGAACGGGGGGGGCAAGACTTTAGAACGCTGCATTTGTCTAGGCAGTATGATATCGTAAATTTAGATTCTTTCCCGCGTTCGCCACAGGTGGGCAGGGGATAACGTGGCAGTGGCTAACAGTGGCGGGGGGAGGGGGAGCACGTACCTCACGGGCGAAATACAAGCACGTACTGTACTGTGCTGGTACATATCTACGATAATCTACATTCCACGGACATGAGATACGAGCAAATACCCATCCGGTCTCTAGCTTTTCTTCACAGGGCCAGTACGGTAACATGTTGATCGATCACCGTACTAGTACAGTACCGTAACGATACTCGAGCATGCATGTGTCTAACGGTGTCCCCTTCGAATGAACTATATACCCTCCCGTCCCTCTTTCTCTCTCTCCTAGGTGGGGGTTGGGGGACAACTACTGGCACCCTGGCCACCTGCCCAATCGAACCGAGCCATCGTCTATATTACTATAACCTCCCAGATGTTCGCTCTAACTGAACGCGAGGGAAAAGGCTCAGCCAGGGAAGGGAAGGGAGGGAGCACGTCTGAGCGTCAACGTCCTCTTTACTTACAGCTATGATACAAGAAACTACTCCCCACTGGGTTGTCGTATCTGGCTCTGTGCCGTCGTTTGAGGCAGTCCTTTCTTTCGAGCCTCATTAAAAGAAGAAAGAGAAGGAAACGCCCATGTAGAGTGCAGTACAGTGCGAAGAGTTTGACGGGATTCTGGCGGTGGGAGGGGTTAAAGATGTTATGGAGACCGATTGTTTAGCCCTTCTGACTATGTGAGTGTGTGGGGAGGGGGGGTTGCTGGTTCCTGGCTGCAGATTTTACGGGTAGCAAGGACTCCGGGCGACCGACTGTGATTGCTCTGATGTTTGTCGCAGGTCGGTTTTCGGGACTCACTTGGATTGGACGCGGGCTATGTTAGTGCGTGTCCGCCGGCGGGTCTTTGTATTATAACTATGGTACCGGTACTCGAGTACTGTACTGTACGTGATTACACTTGTGTGGTACGATATACATTACATTCCCTATTTCCATCCTTTTTTTATATGGCCATTGGATGTTACAGTAAAAGGCTTATTTGGTGAAGGAATTTGCTAGATCCAGAGTTTTGATGTTCATTTTTTTTTTGTTCTCTGCTGGATGGCTGGTATTTAGTTTAACTACTCATCTGGATGAGTTCCTAGAGTGCCATAGTGCAGCGGAGGAGGAGGGGGGGTGCCGTAAGGAAGGGTGTGTTAACTTAGGCATTAGTTTTCGTACAAGTATGGTTCCGGAGGACAAGAGTTAGGACCACTTTTCTCACGAAAAGTGTGACAGTTATGGATGCAACGGCAACCGTAATGCTTATGTTTACGCTTCTTGTAACATGTTTTATTTTGCCGAGAAAAATCTAAAACACAGGGAAAAAACCAGTTTCTTTAATTACCCTACCTATTAATATCTGCATTACAGTTGCCGTTGCATCCATAACTGTCACAGCTCTCGTGGGGGGGCTGGTCCCAACTCTTGTCCTCCGGAACCATAGACACCAAAGCGGTAGGAGAAATATCACGCACGGTTTCCATCATCAAATAATATTACAACCTACCTCTAAATGCGCGAGAAGAATTATCAACGTTTCGGGAATGCATCGAGCGATAAGTAAATCCCACTTGCGGAATCCGTATATACGAGTACCAATTCCCGGTACTTCATTCTTTTAAATCCTTTTGTAATGCTTTCCAATCCCCCCCCCTTCTCTCCCTGTGCTCCGTTAGATCAGTCCTAGGACTCCTCGGGAGATAATTTACTCGTACGGCATCAATAGCATCCTGTCGGCGAATATTTATTTTATCATACTGGTAGCTGTGGGCATTTTATCCATCTCTGAGCGTTGAAGGAAAGCTGATAATAATTGACGGAGTAGGTCTACTGTGCTGATCATCGGAATACCAGTATAGAAGGGGAAGCCGGCCGCACCGGATAAGCTACGATACCGGTAATGTAGATTCCACATGCCTCGGAAGGAGAGGGAAAATTTGTCTGTGGGAAAAAGAAAGGGGGGAAAGTAAAGGATGCGGAAATATGGAGAGGGGAAGAGAGCGAAGCACATAATTAACCGCGAACCTCCCACCGACGAGAACTGTAACCGAAACCTTCGATAGTCCACCAGCGTTGTGCACTATGTCGCCATCACAGACTATGACTCGGATTAATTCCCCGTCACACATATCATATCACAAGTCTTCCTTTCTCCCCTCTTCGTCAGATAGATTGCTAAACGGATTCACACGATGATACCGCTCGGTGCTCTTTCAGTCACGGGCCTGGCTAACTCCGCGATTTATCGGTGATCGTGAGGGCGGTAGTCGGGGATGATTTTTGCACGCACCCTATGCTCCATCATCACCCCCTCCCCTTTCACAAATCCGAGTCCGAACCAATATCGTTGTATGGTCTAGCCTCCTGTGAAGGTCCAAACCTCGAAATGACATGGGTACAGTGTTACTGCTCCCCACCCTGCGGGTATGAGTGAGTTACATCCCGAGCTTACTGTTGGTTGTGGTGCCCCTCCAATCCCGGAAACCGGCCTTCTCCAGGATTGCTGAACCTCGTCCGGACATTTGGGGGAGAAGCAAGAAGAAATGGAACAAATCATCCAATCCCATTAGTTTACCGTTCCCCACATAACCCAAGTCAAGTATGATGAAATCTCGAAAACGCCAGCCAATCTACAGTATGGTGCGGTACATTTCCCAGGCAGTAGCAAAAAAAAAAAAGCAGGTTTCTCCATGCACCCAGACCCAAATCGAAACATCCCATCGTCTGCAACATACCTCTATTTAATACAACCTCATAATCTCATCATCCTCATCCCACCCATCATAGTCCTCTTGGTCAATTACAGTCTTCGGCCTTTCCCTACTCTCGCTCCCATCCTCATTCCCGCTCTCCTCCGGTTGCTTCGGCGGAAACTTAAACGTCGGCGGCCGAGCACACAGCAGCATCTTCTTCTTCGGGCCAGAGGTGGAAGATAACTTGATCACTCCGGCACCCTGGGGGATAGGTCCTGCCACATTGTCGTTGTCGTCGCTATCATCTACGTCGTGGATCTCGTCATGTTCTTCTTGTTCAACTAATCTCCTAACGGATTGAAATTGGGTTTTGCGTTTGGTCGGGGGTAGGTTTGCGTCGTTGTTGGTTGAGGGCCGCTTTGGTGGGCGGTTTGTTGGATTGCGGGTAGGTGATGGGGACCTGGAGTTTGGGATTGAGGTTTGCTTTTGGAGAAGGGGTAGTAGTCTATTATGTGGGGAGGGGGTCCGGGATATGCGGGGTGGGAGTTCCGCGGCGGAGCTTGGGACTTGGATAGATTCTGGGGATTTCTGTGGCGGTAGCGGTGGTGGTGCGGTTGGTTGTCGGGGTGGGCGGGTGCGGGAGGGCGCGCTGAACTGTCTTATTTTGCTTATTGTTGCTGGTGCTGTAAAGGCGAGTTCGTCAGGTAGTGCTTGGGCCGGTGCGGGTGGTGGAGGAACTGGGCTAGGAATCCTGGGTGCGGCGGGACCACTTGGCTGAGGAGTCGGAGGGCTGTGCCTTTGTCGCACCGGGGGTCCAGTCTGTTGAGGTGCCAGATGGTTTTGATTCGCTCGGGATGCTGGACGTCCCTGGGGCATAGATGGCGTTATTTGGGTAACGTTCCCTGACCTATTGGCTTGAGCAGGTATCTGACGGCCAGCAGTTACAGGGCGCCCTCTCTCCGATGCCCCGTCCCTTTGCTGGTGTTGAGGATGCCGAGGGGGAGGCGGGCGATGGGCTGGTAATTGTGTACTCGCGTGTGCTGCTCCCCTTGTAACTAGAGGAGGAATGCGGCCTACAGGACGTGTGTTATAATTTTGAGGGCATGGGACTAGTTGCGGACTGGCTGGCGGAGGAGCTTGCTGCGGAACTGGTGCTTCAGTACGTCCGAAATTGGTTGATCGTTCACTAGCTTGAGGCAGGAAGACATGTTGTCTAGTCGGATGTGAATTGTGACTTGTAGAATTTCGGACTGGTGCACCTATATTCATGTTTCCATTGACTTGTCCGCTTCCCTCATAAGCCGGCATCGACGCACGAGCCCGCGGGCCAGGCGTATCCACCACCATAGGCCCATTCACTTGTCCGCTTCTCCCCGGTCCTGCTATAGGCGGATAACCCTGTCGACCTGGAGTATTTGGGTTAATCACTCCGTTCCTTCCGCTCTGTCTGTTCATCCTCGGGACTGTAGCTGGAGCCTGGGCTGGTCGGCTAGGTGTAGCCATATGTCCATCCCCGGGCCCGTTCCTATTCCCTCCCTGTACGGGTGTAGGCGTATATGACCCTCGAGTTGTGGGTCGATGCTGCCTAGCACTTTGCACACCCGTTGATCCACCTCCCAAAGTCCCCGCCGATTCTCTCAGCCGGTTCGGTATAGGCGTCTGAACCGCAGATGCCGCCGTAGTAGCAGCCTGGTAACGTCAGTGAGCCCCCGGAATTTGAAGATGAAGAAAGGTGCATACTTGTTTCCGTTGTAGGGCCGGCGAGAATATTGGTGTAAGATCTTGATTCACCGAACCGCTAAAGTCCTCAATGGAAACAAGGTGATGTTCGAACTCGAGCTCGTCCCCTTCACCCAGAAATTCCCGGTCGCGGAGGTACATATCAGCCTATAGATTTCCGGAGTCAGTTGCAGAGGTTTGATAATTCGGGGGTGTGAAGAGAGTGAGGCGATGGAAGCGAACCACGAGATGTCGACCGTCATCATAGACCAGCATGCGCCTATTGAATGAATGGTAGCGGAGGAACCCTGTCAATGTTAGCTTAAATATGCCCGAGAAGTGAATGCAGCTAACCGTCGTGCCATTTCTTGATTTTTTGAGTTTTATTCTGTCAAGGTTAGTAATGAGCTACTTTGAGGTTCGGACTAGCGGACAAGGGAGGCTCCGGGAACAGCATACGGGGGTCCACATAACACGGTACTCATCAACCGGAGCAGTCTTCGTCTGGTCGGCCATGGCGGATCTTGCGAAGGTAGCGGTTTGTTGGATACCGGGAATGTAGAGTACCGGTAGGGAGCCGTAACCAAAGGTAGCGATTGGGTGTGGTGGTGATGGTCGATGGTGATGGTGAAGTTGAGAACTTGGGTTAGGACTCTCGAGACGAGGGGCGCTTCTAGAGTTCGACGCGTTAATTGGTATACGTCACGTGATCTCAAAGATGAAACACCAAAGATATTATCTCAGTAGTCCTCGTATCACAGGATGCTCTGTCATATCTGTGGTCCGCTGCCGTATCATACTGTACTCCCCCCTGCTCAGCCCTGCAAGATTTATCCGTCAAAGTGATGCCACCCAAGACCCAAAACCTCCTCCAACCCCACATACGTCACAGGTGATCCCTCACCTGCAACTGCTTTATTTCTTTTTAACCTCAAGAACAATTGTAGATCGCTTTTACCATATTAATATCATAATTGCTTAGGGGATATCAACAGTCAGAGTCTCTTCTAAACTGGTTTTTTTGAAAGCTCCGGATTGAATTTATCTCCATGGGACCCCGGGGCCAAGATCCAACACCGCCTCCTTCCACCTCCGTGCTGCCAGAATGCCTCGACCCCGCTGGTTTCTTCAAGCAGAAGCAAACTTCTTTCGTGCCTTAATGAACACGGGAATGTGCCTGCATCGCCTCTCCCCACCGGTTCCACCAGAGCACCACTTCACCAGGGTCTTCCCCACGACCGTCTCCCCCATAAAAGGCGAAATAGGCCTCTACTTTTACACCCCGCCCTCATACCCACCTCCGCCAGACCCGTCGCACAAATACCCCGTGGTGGTGAACTTCCACGGGGGCGGCTTCACGCTCGGTCACGCCACCGACGACGTGCGCTGGGCGGCATCGGTCGTCTCCCTTGCGGACGCGATAGTGGTAAGCGTGGACTACCGTCTCGCGCCTGAGCATCCATTTCCCACGGCTATTGAAGACGGCGTCGACGCACTGCTTTACCTGTCCGCCCATGCAGAAGAACTGCACATTGACCCACTGAGGATCGGGGTTTCGGGATTCTCAGCCGGAGGGAATATGGCTTTCACCGTCCCGCTGAGGCTGCACGAGGAGTTCAGGCGAAAGCCGACGCTTCCACGGCTCGTGATTGTGGCGATCGCGGCTTGGTATCCGAGTACCGACTTCACCGCGACCCGCGCTCACAGGCGGGGTAGCAGCCTGAGGCCGGATAAGGAACTTCCAAAGTTGTTTACGAATATGTTTGATGCGAGTTATTTATATCCTCCCAAGAGCGTGCAGTTAGATTCGCCCTACTTGTCGCCGGGGGTGGCGAGCGAGGAGTTGTTGAGGGAGTTACCGCCGGTCATTTACATGTATACTTGTGAATGGGACGAACTTCTCCAGGAGGCGGAGGGGTTTAGGGCTAGGTTGGAGAGTGAGGGGGTCGGGAAGAAAGTTTTCTATAGGAAGGTTGATGGAACTACGCACGCATGGGATAAGACTATTGGGCTTGGGGATACGAGACGTGAGGCTCTTTATAAAGAGGTTTGTGAGGGGTTGCGGAACGTCTTTTATAAGAGTTAGCTATTCGATGGCCGGTTGGGTTTGGCAATCGGACTACCGTAGAGAGGGGTCTTGTAGCAGAAACTATCTTGTACTACATTAGATATCACTCGGTCTCTTTGTTGGATCTAGTGCGTATCCACTAAACAGACTAGTTTCCTTTCATCTAGTTTCTCTTAAATTTAGTACTTTCCTCTCCACTCTCTTTAACATTAGCCACTGTTTGTGCTTTTCTTCATTTCTTCTCCGATCGTCTCACAACTTCACAACTGGTTATGCTATATTCAACTATAGTATTTACCTCCTTCTCATCATTCGCAGTCCTCCCGAGCTTCTCATATTACCAACCTAGGGTTCCCGGTGTTTCTTTTCTCTCGTTTAGTTTTCAGTCTAGAATAAAAACCCACAGCTGCGCATGTGGTAAGAAAACCAAGCATCTTTCTCGACGGCAGTCATATCAATTCACGCTCTTTTTATCCCCTCGTTTGTGCCCGAATTTCGCTACTTTCCAATGCGTATTTTGCCCTCCGACCTTCAAAAACCGCGATTATAAAGGCACAGCTTCGGCCACCGAACGGTGTCCCGGCCAGCGGGACTTACGGTATGACCCTGAGGGGTCAACTTACCGGTAACCGATCATCCCTCTAGGATGCAATACTGCCTCCCTATTCAGCATGAGGTTCCAAATACAGACGAAGTGTCGGAATTACTACTTCAGTGTGATGGAAAGCACAGGCATGTCCGTATACCTAGTACACAATCTAGGGCATCACGATATACATGATAAGAGTCATGTTTATGCATATTGATACGACCAATTGGTATAAACAACGTGGAGTCAGGTGCATGTATGAAGAAGGACAACACCAAAACTCTTAATCAATCTTCCATCCATAGGGTTTTTTTTCACCTTTCAAAATCACATCCTTACCCTCCATACCGGTTCTTTCCGTGCGACCTCCGACAGGGAGGGACATACGGTATCAAACTCCGGCAGGGATTGACGGGACCTTTAGAACAATAATTTAGTGAAAAAAAAGCATTTGGTGCACCCTAAATACACCTGTGCGGGCCGTTTCTCACTGTAGTGTCTTCAGGAGACCCCTCTGCACACTCGCATCCACAATGTTTCTCTAGTCTACGTATGACACATAACACCTCAGAGAGAACTTTTTTAAAATCCAGTTACGGCAAATTTCATATAAAATGGGGTTTTTCCCCCCTACTAAATCACTTCTACAGTACAATCTTCCGGTGGTAAACTATGGGGGACCCCACGGTACATCATACATTGCGAGAACTTTTTTGCGGACGGGGGGAGTGCTTATTTCAATTTCTCCCCCATGGCCCGGGTTGAAAATCGTGCCAATTACAAAATGCCTGCTCAGGCCTCACATACTCGAGTCTTGGTGGAAAAATCTCGCGATTTTCAGGTTTCGCCCCAAACCGCATCCGGATCTTCCAGGCAATCCCCCCTCAAAGAACCTAAGTTACCGGAAGAAGCCAGCTCAAGCAACCTTCACCACTCTCAATCCCTTCCACGATAGCGGTGTTTCGCGAGAGTTATAGAAACCTCTTTCCAAGAAATTCACCAGCTCCATTACTCCAGTCACAAATTATCACTTCCTCCTCCTCGCCAAGCCTCTGCCAAAAGCCGAGTTTCCCACGCCCTGCCATGACCTTCACGCTCATGCATCAGGCAACAAAAGCGGAGTCTACTTCCGGATCCAAGTCTACGAACCACAAATCGTTCAGGAACATCCCCCCCCCACCACAGCACACACACAGCCCCCTCTTGAATACCCCTATTGTAGAAAAGTACGGGATACTAACCTCAGAAACTCCCATTACTAGCTGTGCGAGAAATACCGTATGAATCTTACCGTACTTAATGGGAGACAGGTGACAACCAAGAGCCCGACGCAGCGGTGATGTCACATTCCCCCCACGGTTTTTTTTCTCTTCCTTTTGATCGCAACCAGAACAGCACGGAAGCCGTTCTACGAGAAATTTGGCAGTGGTATGATATAATAACGCGATGAGCGCGCTCGCCTCTTTCACCCTCCACAATCCTATCTTGCCATGTGCTTGTTTAGACCCAGAAAGGAATCCACTACGACACGGCTGAACATCCTTCTCAGCAACGGCCGTTTCCCAGTGTCCATTGACCTCGCGCGGCAGCTCAAGCTAGCGGGTCACAATGTCTACGTTGTGGACCCGATGCATTACCACGTGTGCAAGTTCTCCAACTCGGTGGTGAAAAGCTACTGGGTGCCTGCCCCGCACGTCGACGCGGAGGGGTACACGGAGGGCGTGCGGCGAGCGGTGGAGGATGCGAATATAGACCTGATAATACCGATGCACGAGGAGCTATTCCACCTGGCCGAGCAGACCTCCGACGTCAGCGATGAGAACGGCCAGATCGTGCGGAAACGGTTGTTCGCGCCGTCCTTCCAGACGCTGGTACGTCTGCACAACAAGTGGGAGTTCAGCCTGTTCCTGAGAAGAACTGGCTGCGACGCCCCCCGCGCATGGCTGTGCCGAAGCATGGACGACGTGCGAGCGCTACCCCACAGGGAGATGGAACTAGCGCTGAAGCCGGTTTACGGACGGGCAGCGAAGGACGTCCACCATTTAAAGCCCGACACCCCGTTACCGGATAGGGTCGACGTCGGTCCGGAGAACGAGTACATCGCGCAGGAGTGGATCACCGGGAATAGGTATTGCTCGTACTCCGTCTTGCGGGACGGGAGGGTGTTCGCATTCAGCGTGTACCCCGTCGTAGATACCATCGACGAGTCCTCGTGCGTTTACTTTCAATCGACCGAGCACGCTGGCATCCGCGCTTACGTTGAGCGAATAGCGGACGCGCTTCCGGGCGTGAACGGACAAATTGCGTTCGACTTTATAGAGACGGATGATCGACTCGTCGCTATCGAGTGCAACCCCCGCGCCACGTCCGGCATACACCTCTGGTCCGGGACTCCCGATCTTGCCCACTCGTTCACCCGGTCTTCGCCCGCGGTGGCCAGGCCAGGCGCGAGGAGACAGCTTATTCCTGGAATGCTCATGTGGTCGAAGAAGGGCGCGGGGCTGGGGGAGTACCTGAGGCATATGAAGAGGCTTATGGGGACCAAGGATGTCATGTTCAGCAAGAGGGATTTGCTGCCGAGCCTTATGCAACCGTTCTTGCTTACGAGTTATTATGAGATTTGCCGGGAGAGGAGGATGGATATTTCCACCATGTTTCAGTGGGATTTGGTGTGGGAGCCTGGGAGGGAGCAGTTGGAGAATATCAGGAGGCTGTTGGCGAGGGTAGGACGGGAGGGGGGTGGAGGAGGGGCGAAGGAGGAGGATGTGGAAGGAGAGCAAAGCGAGAGTTTGGGGAGGGATTCGGGCGTTGGGGTGGAAAGAAACCCCTAGAGCGATGGACAGGGTAGTATACAGTGCACGAGATTGCTATGGTACAGAGAAGCCTTTGGGGGATTCTATTGTGACTATGATTTTCGGGCGTTGGTGTGGCTTTTGAAGTTCTTTCAACCGGGGCATGATATATCTTTTTATTTTCATTTTCGTTGACCTCTTGTGCTCCACCTACAGTACTGTACCGGCATGCTGAACGACCTTACTTTAATGACGAGATATCATACCTTTTGTAAATTAATGTCTATGGTAAGCATAATATCTCACTCGCCAGGTGTTAAGCCGAATGCGCGCTCCGCTCCCTTCCCAGAGGGAGCCACTACCTCACCATCACAACCCAGCGCTCTTCGATCTGCATTATACCATATAAGCATGATCGTGCATTACCGGCCATCTCCTCAGTTACTAATGCCTTATCTATCACAGGGGTATTGGCAGACACCGACAGTGCACCGTTGTCGCACCGCAGCACCGCAACTCCTCAGTTAATTCCCATCATATTAACACCGCACCCCAGTCCGTGCGACCCCCGCATCACACAGAACATCCATCCCGCCTCGCACGCAAGACTATCAAAACCCCGTTTCCTCCACTCTCCCTCCCCCCTCTCAATCCGACCAAAAACGCCAACCGGAAAAAAACAAAGAGGTCAAAAAGAAAAGAGAGGAAAGGAAAAGGAAAAAAAAAAAAATAAAGAACACCAACCCTCCAATCTACTTCCGTGAAGATGACCCGCGCTACTACCCCTTCTGCCTCAGCCACGCTTGCACCTTCACCTCATCCTCCCCTACAGGTCCTGGAAACGCCACGCCGCCGGAAGTCTGCTGCTACTTCACGAGCTTAACGCAATACTTGCAATACCGCAAAGCGCAGCTGTTCTACGATTACCGCGCGGCGGAGGACATGCTCGCGACGCCCGACATCTCCGTGATAATGAACATCTCGCGGCGCATAAACGGGCTGCAGGTGGAGGTGTGGAACGGGATGCGAAGCACGGTCGTGCGCGAGGGGTTCATGCTGAAGTTTGGGCAGAACGAGGAGTTGCGGAGGTTGCTACTCGATACGGGGGATAGGGAGTTGGTGTATGCGGTTGGGACGAGGGATTGGGGGGTTGGATTTGCGGTGAGTTTTTGGGTTTCCCTCCCTGGAGGGTGGGGCTGATGCGGGTCGGGAGGTGAATAGCCGGCCGATGCGGGGAAGAGTAGGGACACTTGGGGGTTGAATCTGTTGGGACAGGCTTTGATGGGTGAGTTTATCCTTCCTCTTTCCTTTTGGGGAATTTTGGTTGGGACGGGGCTTACGGGGTTGTAAATGTAGACGTCCGGAGGAGGTTGAGAGAGTACGCCGATGCTACGGGAACCTATCCGAAAGCGCGACCGGCGCCGATCGACGTCAAAATGAATAGCTTGGTAGAGTTACAAGGGGGCAGTTGATGGTTAAGAGAGTGAGAAGGAATGAGATAGGTAGCTGGAGGCAACACGACTATAATCCTGGGAAAATAGCCATCATAGAAAGAGGAGGGACCTTCTCATGACTTCTCACTCGCCGACACCAGAGTTAGACACATGGCCTTGCAGTCAGGCGGGGATTATCACGCTCATCTAATGAATTACGATACCACGACCCACAAATCTTGTCTATAATAGGCGCATCCCTAGTCAAATTAAATTAAAGAACGTCTATGCTCGTCCACCGTACCAAGAGCACATAGCTCACCTTCAAAAGTATAGCATCACATCGCCTTCCCCCTCCACCTCCCAACAACTCTCCCAACCCCCCCTAAAACAACTCTAGCAAACCAGGGCGTAGCCCAAAGACTCACCGCAATTCTAACCGGCAGCAAAGTCTTCACAACAGCCCAAGCCGTAGCAACCCTACCATCCCCCTCAAAGTTAGTCCCCAGCCCCCCATCCCCAACCGAAAGGAAAACTCACTCAAATAGTAACCTAGCCCCCTCATCCCCTTTAAACCTCTTCCACCCCTTCCTCCGCACCTATGATACCCCATCCATTAACCCACGGGCCGCCGGGAGAGGATCAAAATACATCATACATATTTACCAAACATATCCACCCCCGCTACCACCCACTCACCCGGCACCCCTGGCGGTGTCCAGTGCGTTTTGTGGAAGAACAGGAAGAGCCCACCGAGCGGCACGATCGCCGTGAGCTCGTGGAGTATTAGGAATGAGGTGATGTGGGAAAAGGGGCGGTCACGGAAGTGGGCGGCGTATTTTCGGAGGGCCTTGGGGAGGATGGGGGACTTTTCTGGTGGGGGTTGAGGGGCTGTGGAGTGGAGGCGGGGGCGGAATTTGAGGGGTGGGAAGCGGCGGGTTAGGTGGCGGAGGAGGGGTGGGGGACGGGATGGGAGGGGTGGGGGACGGGATGGGATGGGCGGCATCGGGTGAGTTGTAAGTCGGTCTGTTGGGGTGGGGGAGCTTTGGTGCTCGGGGTCGGAGGGATTGTACTAAGCTCTAAACTTGACATTTGCCAGCATTTTGAAGCTGTCGGTTTTGGTACAGCCCTAACCCTGATGGGACATATTCAATCACTCGGACACAGTATCACGGGGTAATGAATATATGGTTTGGCACCGGAGGTTTGGGCTTCAACTCGACAGCGACAGATTTGATTATGCCTGGCTTCTCTCCTCCCTTCTCTTCACCCCCCCGAGGGATCCCACTTGTGACGGCCGGAGGGGAAACGCTAGCGAAGATCAGGATGATACGTTTTCAGAGGTTAGAGGAGGTCGTGAATACCGCTGTGGGCCGCCACCCCTGGCCAGCGATTGCTAAAGAGCGAGTGGTGACTTTCATGGCTGATGGGACCGGCGCACTGGGAAAGGAGGAGGTAAAGGCTGGGAGGAGAATGGACTTGAGGAGCATGTCTGGTTGCCCCGCCAGTGTGATCGAACTACATAAAGCCGCATCGCTAGTCAAATAGATGGGCTGGTCGGTGATATAACAGCTCCCCTCCTCGAGCTTCCACCTAGACCTCATGCACAGTACAGTACCGCAACTTGATCTTCTTAAAGCAGTTAATTGTAACAACAACCCACTTCCTTCAAGCAATTTACCCCCCCCACGGAAGTATCATAACAATTTTTTTTCTAGTTCCTCACCCCCACCCCCAACCCCCCCAAACCTCCTACCACCTCCGAGCCCACAGATATGGCACCACCCAGGAAAGGCCTCACAAGCACAGTACACAAAACCTGAGAAAAGAACATCCCACATCATATATAACCATAGTACAACAATTCTAGCCGCAACTCACACCCACCGTACAATCCTACCCAACCCAGCAACCCAATTTACATCCCAATATGGAACAAATTTAAATTCAAATAACTACCCGCACCCGCTCTGCATACGGTATCCAGCTGCATTTTTTTTTGGCGGAATGTGCGCGAGTGAGAGGGTGGACAGGTGGGTGGAAACCTACCCGCCAATAGTTTCAACTACGATACGTTCAGGATTTTCTTTTTAAATTTTACCTCCCGGGAGGGTTATGCGACGATTGTGCATGGCGTCGGGATTGCCTACATATGTTCTCCTTTTTTTTTTTTGTATGATATATTGGTGGGCAGTTTGCGGGGATGTGGTATCTATCATAAGTCAGGTCTGGGGCGGTATGGGTTGTGGGAAGCTCCATTTATTATAACAAGAAGGGATGGTATCATTATTATAATACTACACTCGAGGATTATGCACCGTGGTTGAACAATTGCTTCGTTAGGACAACTAATGAGTGGGAAATCGGAACTACGAGTAGGGTACAGCACTATCCGGTTTTGCAGACTGGGCACATTCCACGTAACTCGGAATAGCCAATCTCTGAATTGAACCGCAGCCTCCCAAGTAGCCTACATCACCGAAAAGCGCGATCCATAGCTTCGACACATCATCCCCTCGTATCCCATCATTGAAAGGCCGAAATTGCGCGTTGCTGAGAGGAGAGAACATCATTCCGCTTTTTCCCCACCAGACCTGCATCCATCTAATCCCTAAGCATACAAAAAAAGAAATGAAAAAAAGAAGAAAAAAACCCCCCAAAGTAATATACATTGCAAGCGTTCTGTACAGAAGAGTTCCCAAAATTACTTTTGCGGAGAGGCAAGTACAGATTCCGCACCGGGGGTGAGTGCCTATAGACCGTTAGCTACCCTCACAAGATCCACGCAGTAACCGCCCCAACCGACGTCAGGAGACACCCACATCAGTAGTCATCTGGTTCATCTATTCACCCCGCCCATCAGTTCAATCCCGAAACAATAGCGAGCGGAAAGGGTAGAAGTAAAGAACAAACCTTCATCTCCTTCTCCATCTCGACAACTTGCTGCTCATCCGTGATCGCCACGGCAAACGGCACCCCAAGCACCAGCGCACTAGTGGAGAGAATCCAGAGTGTCTTACCGCCGAGCGTGAATCCCTTGCTGAAGAAGTTGTAGGTCTTTGAGAAGCCGTTGGAAATGTAGGTCCTCTGCTTCAGCGGTATCATGTCCTTGAGCGCGGCGATCCGCTCGTAAAAGGACTCCTCGAGGTCGAGGTCATCATCATCGTCGTCCCCCGAAATCTCGCTTTCGGTATCGGTGTAGTCCTCGTCGTCGGAGGGGGCAGGTTGGGCGTTGACAAAGTGCTCATCCTCTACTTCGCGGAGTTCGACCATTTTTGCTGTTGTCGGGTGGAAATTGGGCTATTTCTTTCGTTGGTGGATGTTGGGGTGGGTGGTGGATGGTGGTTGGTGGGGTGGAAGCGACGTTTATGACATCGAGTGTCTTGTTTCTTGTGAAAATGCCAAGAGTTCCGGAGTCAGGTGACTAACGGGTGATTATTGATGACGGAGTAACCTAACTCATATCATACGAGTTCACAGCGAACACTGCTATCGATGCTTATGTTATGAGACCTCTATGGCCCCTCCCACGGTTATACAAAAGTTTATTTTTCGAGCTATCGTACTGGCTCCTATTATAGCGCTATAATTCTAAAATGTGTCTAACTCACGAGAAAAGACAGAAATTATATGAGCATTTTGATACCTGGAAATGCTCGTAAGATCAGGCACGCATATGATGAGGACGTTTTATATAGTTTACATAGCCCCACTATACTTCATTGCCACCATCATATCCCTCATCTTCACCTCAGTACACATCGTCATTCTAAATAGCCTGCCGGATTTCGACGTTTGGTAGCGTAGGGATACCCGTTGTTGGGCTTATCCCTTTGTGGTCTACAGAGGCATCCGTCTGGATATGGACTGCTGGGCTTTGGCATTTCCCCAGGTATTCATCCAGTTTATCATTTCATTCAACCACTTGTAGCTATTTTCACTCTTTTGAACCCTGCAAAACTGTTAGCACCCCATTATCCAGGTCAGTGTAAGATATCCTTTTCTTCACGGTAAGAGATAACAATTAGTAGTAGTGCCGGTGCGCAACGTGGGTAGGCCACGTAGGGTACGGTAACTACTACCCCACTGGCAGCTAACTCTGTAAGGTAGAAAAAAAGAAAAAAAGCCGGAGCATGGGGAGTCACAAATCGACCACACCCTGAATCAAATATCCCTCTAGGTGGCCCTCCTATTTTTGATCACATTCATTTTTTTACGGACTGTTTGTCTTCTCTCTTTCCTTAATCTCACTTGTCTTTTTCCTGTCTGTCGACTCGTTAAGGGAAAGGGCAGAGCTGCAGTTGGTTAAGGTAATACTAGTAGTTTGAGTGTTTATTCCAAATTACTTGTCTGTACCTAGATTACAAACTCCGCAACTACTCATGTAGCTACAAGTGATTAAAAAGCCTACGAATGTTGATTTTATACTGCAAGTATGATAGTAGAAAGAGGTTCACTGTAGAATAATTGTCAAAAATTCAATATTGAAAGTAAGAAACTTAAACCTATTCCCCAAATATCATCCGGCAGCTATCTCTTATACTACGAGAGTTCTTTTAAGGGAATTTTTTTAATACCTCAAAATAAATAAGGTCAACTTATTTTTATTCCACTATAATAGTAACTGGATATATTCTGATTCAACCTATACCTATTCATAATTCCTTACAGAATCTAGAACCACCTATAGCAGTCACAGTATTGCAATTATAAAATTATTTGAAAAAAAAAAAATTTCCAATAAGGGTATCATACTTGTAGCTTTAAATGTCCTACCTATAGTAACCAGTACATATCCTTTAAAATTTTCAGTTAGTATTAAAAAAGCATTATAATTACCTACAATAATATTTTTCTGAGTTGGCTCTCAATTCTCCTAATATAGTAAGAAAATACTATTTACTCAACCAGTATATAGACGGCTAAGACAGCCTATTTTTTCAACTCTCATATTAGAATATAAGTAGTTAATTTCTGTAACCTCTTATATTATATAAATATTTCTCTAACATCTACTATTCGGTTATATAGAAATTAGTAATCTTGAAAATACTGAAATAGAAGTAATCTGAGTCCATGTACCTATTTCCCATAGAGAAGAGTATGTATTAAATTGGTTTTGTTTGACATAATCCTTTCATATAAATGGTTAACAGATAGAGAAGCTCTATGATTTTTTAATATAATTAAAAACAAGCTAGTTCCTTCTAGCAAATTTCTAAGCTAGGATCGTACTATACTCAAGTAACCATTACTAAAAATAGTTAAATTATTCTTGAAACTGATTTACAGAATTCTGTAATATTATATTAGACCAACCTAGCAGAAAGGTAAATACTTTTTACTAGTAGTAGTAATAACTTTATCTTTATATTTTTTCTAGTACTACTCATTATCCAATCTACTTGCTAATACATAGTAGTATACCTTAACCAGTACTTAAGCTTTCAGATAACCTCCAGAGATAAAGGTAAATAGATTAAGACCATATACCTTATGTAATAGAAGAGATCAGACCCGGAAGGGGGTGGGCTTTGCTGGAGGCATGAACTAGAAGAAGGTCCAAGGAATCGAATAAAGACTTTAGAGACAAGAGAGAGGAAACAAGAAGTAGAAAGCTCAGTTTGACTTAGGAATACAGGAAGTTACATGAAGAGGAAAGAGGAGACCCCTTCACACAAATATTAGATAGAGAACAGTTGCATGTGTGAACATACTAGTATACAATATTGCCACTTAACCTAAGCTGTCATATCAAGTATAAACTCCAAGAACCCATTTTTTACTCCCTGGTTAGCAACGAGGAGGTTACGCCATATCAGAGCATTGAGGAGCAATAGCGGACCGAACCACTACCACCAGCCACTACCGAAACAAAATATCCCAAGGGAAGCAGTCCCTCCCAAGGAGATATCCACCATATTCTACATCGAGGTCACAACGGGCAGAAACAACCGCCCCAATCTTGAGCTATATACCATACACAAAAAGCCACTCGCAGGAAAACTGAGATACCCCATAGATATAAAATAAGCCCAATCACCCTCCAGCCAACCTTCCACTCATCCAAACCCAAGATGACCCCCCCCTCTCTCTCACCCTTAATCCAACAAACCCGGCCCTTAACCTCAGCGCAAACTATTCCCACCGCCACCTGTATCACACCCTCTCACTCGTCAACCTAAGCAACCTTGAACCCCGAAACTAAGTATATGCACCCCCCAACTCCTGACCCTTGTGATATAATACCTCGGTAAAAAAGTACATGAACACTCACATACTAATAGCCAATGACACAAGAGATTGACCGCAATGAAGCAAGGTTGGAACACAAATTAGTCCAGTCGCTCGACAGAACTGCAGTGCACGGATATACAGTATATTCCAAAGGTTCTCACATAACGGCTAATCACGAGGCTACCTCCCAAGTTCGGATTCTCCAATATATGGAAGGAAAAAAAAAAAAAGGACACCTCATATCATACCGGTCATTGACTGTCATAATTATCATACCAACCCCCGAACATATCCCTACTATGACATATTATCACAACAGCCCTACCCACCCATACTCGCATAACACCGCCAACAAAGATCGACATTCTATCATAGCAGTGATATTATATCACACCATACAGTACAATACCAAAAACCCCCAGCACAACCATACACTCCCCAAGAACCTCCGTCAAATCAATCCAACTTACCATACCAAAAAGAAAAAAAGAAAAAAATCCGCACCCTTCACCTACAGTATTTAAATTCGCAACCAAACAGCCCTCCATACACCCCACCATAAGCAAAAGCCACGATACTATCATAATATTATACCCCAATAACATAGACTAATACCCCTCCCTTCTCCCAAAACAGATTACACACACACACCACCACCAAGCCATCCATGCTCTACCTACCCACCGGCATGATACCGGTATCAAAAACGTCAAAATCCACCCCAAGAAAAAAAGACAGGTAAGGTACAGTATTGTACAGAATACTACCCACTCCCCCAAACCCACTGGTACAGTACCAACTCAATACACCCGCACGATAAATCCGCATCACCGCCCCTCGATCCCGACGGCAGCGCTGCAACGAGGATTCGTAATTCACTTTTCGGGAAAATTCCAGGTGCGGGGACTTACCGAGGACCGGGATCGCGTAGCGAAGGGACAGGAATAAAAACCGGTCAATGTACAGTACTATACGGTAGTGTAGGCTAGGGCGGGGTACAGTACAGGTGATGAAGGGCGGCATTATAGACCTCCCCTTTTCTTTCCCTAGAGCAGTTCGGGCCCCGGTGGGCAACTATAGATCGGATCTTGAGTGTAGCCCCCCAATCATATCGTGCGTATTAGAGTTTGCAGAAGGATTGTCGTTGGTTTTTATTTTTATTTGTATCGCTGGGCAACTGGGGGGATGCCTGATCCAACATCTTTTTCAGTTGGTTACCTGTATCGAGCCGTGTCTTGATACGTGATCTGAGTGCCTGGAATTGAGGTGAACGAAAATCATTGATAATCACCTTCCTGCAACGACCAGTCCAACTACCTAACCGGCTCATCGAGTGTGTGTGGGTAGCAGGTAAACGGGATAAAACACGGTTCGGGGACCTGGCAAGCGCTGACCACTGGCTCGCTGAGTGTTGTAGGAAGTACTCGTAAACAAGATTAACCCACAGTTCCGGGACGCGGCAAGTCGCCCCCAACCCACAAACGTTAATTGCACCCCAGCGAGATATCATTAACTACTACCAGTACCATAACCGCATAATTGTACAAGTAGTCCTCGCTTGGGGAAACACCACTCTCCCCCCCCCCCCTCTCCCTCTCCACATAACTTAGACCACCCGTCGCTATGGAAATATAGAAAAAAAAAGGTCCCAATCCCCAGCGAAAGCTGGCCAACATAAATCCCTTACACCTCTAAGAGCTTCCACAGGAATTCCGAATCCATGTACCCATGATGAATAATATTAACCAAGTAATACGTCTCGGCAATTTCCATCATCAACTTCGATGACGCAGATCTGGGCGGGTACACCCTCGCCCACTCCTTCCAGATAGTGAAAGCTTCTTCCTGTTTGCACAAGCTTGTCAGTTTCCGCGGAAAAATCCAGAAAACTCGTGCGTGGGGTTTCAACAACCTTCCAAGCTCTAAAGGAAACCTCTTCGATTATGGTTGGTGCTACGATTCTATGCGAATGATAGAGCAGTGATTGGTGGTTAGCCGGGCATGCTATTGGGAGTAACTATGAATGGTGGGGGAACTCTTTGTACTCCTTTCCTGGGAAGACACCCCACGTAACTGCATGCATAGCGCTATCGCCTAGGGGCACGCTCGCAGCATAATCTCCCTGGACGGGACCGTTAGTACTGAGAAATAAATCGCCGGGTCCAGGAGAGAAATGACTTACATTTTTGTTCGCAGCATAGTAGGAGATATCCTCAACCCCCCCTAACTTTGCCCCCAATACTCCCCAATCGTCCGGCGAGCAGAAGAACTCGACAAAGGCCTTTTGAAACACAAAACCCCCCTTCGGCCCCCAACCAAAAACTTCATCAGTGCTTTTAACACTATTGATGGCTGGCTGGGATGCCACAGTCCAGAACCCCTTCTGGTTCAGCCTAACCAAATAGTCCGCAATGATCCCGCTCTCCACACTCAAACCTTGTTCACTCCACGGAATAGCCTCCAGTTCACCCCTGATATGTCGGACAAAGATGTCGGATACATCCCGCTTGGTAACCGGGTATGACCAAAGTTTGATTGCCTGAGATTGCGACAAGTGAAGCGACGGCCCATAACCATCAATTTCGCCAAAGGCCGGAGACCTCGCATCGCCAAAACGGCCGTTCGGATAGTCGTCCCAAGTTGCCTCTCTGCCCAAAGCACCCTCACCTTCAGAGATCGCCAACGCTACCTCCGGCGGACGAGACTGCTCAGGTGGTTTCAGAAAGCCAGCTTCGAGTGCGTTTGCCAGCCTCGGCGATTGTAGAGAACTGGAGTCATCAACAATCACACGATTATGAGGATCCGATGTTACGGAAGAAGTTCTCCTATCCCTTCTCAAGCTCGCTCCATTCACAACCGGGCCTTCAATTTCCTCGAGGACGGGCTCATCGGGCGGTGGGATAAGGTTTGTTCGTTCGATAATAAAGGAGACAGCTTTCTCAAGATTCAATGTGTAGAAGTGGAACCCTCTTGGGCCGCTCAGGTTCGCAACCTTAATCCCCTCGATGATCTCCGAGACTATATCAATCCCCACCTGCTTAACCGCCTCGTCATCTCCTTTGACATCATCCAACCTTCGTAGAATACCTGCGGGCAAGGAAGCTCCGCTGAGCTTAGTAATCCGTTTCAGCATCGAATAGCTCTGTATAGGCATCAACCCCGGAATCACCGGAAGCTCGGAGAGCACCCCCGAAGGTTCCTCCCTTAGCAGCCTCTCAAACCAGATATACTTTTCCGCATCGTAGAACAACTGAGTCATTATGAAGTCCGCACCGGCCTTGACCTTCTCAACCAGGAAGGGTAGATCAAACAGTGGATCCTGTTTCTCAGGGCAAGCCCCCTCAACATGGCCCTCGGGATAAGCGGCCACTCCTATGCAGAAATAATCACCGTATTTCTCTCGTATGTATCTGACCAGATCAATGGCGTACTCGAACTCATTCCCAACACCATTGGAAGTCCCGTCACACGGAGTGTCATGATAGTCACCGCTTCTTGGTGGATCACCCCGCAAAGCAAGAATGTTACGAATCCCAATCTCCTTTGCCGTTTCCAGCGTTTCGTCCAGAACGACTTGGGACATGTTCGTGCATGTCAGATGTAGCACCGTGGTGAGGCCGAGCTGCCGTTGACATATCTCGGCAAGCTGAAGGGACTTGGTGGCGGTTGAGCCTCCAGCTCCCCAGGTAACGTTGACGAAGAGGGGTCGAAGAGCATGAGCCATACGCTCCAGACGGGCTTGTAAGTTTTGAAATCCCTGTGAAAATTCACGTTAGCTCCCCTTCTCCCCCCCGCGTGTCATGTGTGTGGGGTCACCATTGAAGTTTTCGGAGGGAAAAACTCAAGACTATGGTACGGCTCACCCGGAGGGAGAGCAGCAATCTTGTCCACAACTTTTTCCATTCTCGTGTTTGTTGCTGTATAGTCACGTCAATTGACTCGGAAGGTGAAGTGAAAGGCCGGTATGGAGAGAGGAAGGGTGCAGCGTGGGCTAATAAAGCCTATTCCGCGTCAGTATCGCCACGGGAACGGGCCCCGAGGGGTCCACAGGGCAATAGAGAAAGAGGTCTGAGGGACCTGGCTGTTGGGAATTCACTGTACAGTAAGCTATCGTATCAATGGCGAATGACGTTCAACAATTCCAGACCTCCTCCAAAGAGGGCAGATCTTTCAGACACCTAGCCCTAGCGAACAAGAATTCTTCGGTTGAAAGGTCTCCCGCGCTTTTGCCCAAGTCCCAATGTCATTAAAGGGGGAGCCGCAGATTTGAGCCCTGGAAGGAATTCGGGAGGATCATGGTACGATAGGTGGGATACACGCCGAGAAAGTGAGCACGAAATTAACGGTCGATGTGAGATGGTTCAGCCATGGTACGAGTAGACGAGCACGACAGAAAGCCAGCAAAGCGTTAGGTAGCCAACATACTCGTAGTGCCAGTACCGGTACGTACCGCACCAGCAGCATAGCAGAAAACAAAGCCGGCGTTACTGACGTAATCCACCCCTACAAAGGCGTCATCTACGAGCACTTGTACCAATACATACGGCATCTCCCCGCCAGACAGAAAATCTGCATTACCAAAAATCCTTTCGTAAATGCCACGCCTACGGCCTAGACACAAACAAAAGAAAAGAGGTAAGCAAAGAGCGCATAAGACTCCGCTATTGAGGACAAAAATTCCCTAGCCCACCGAAGCAGACTAGGAGCAGTCAATATAGTTGTAGTTTTCAACTAGCAAAAATCGAAGCTCAGACGAATCTTCACTGCTATCGATCTTGCCCGTGCACCGGGATGGAGGAGGAAGAGGGGTGTGGGGAGAGCCAGCCTTTTATACCCAAGCCCCCAGTCGGCCAAATTTTCGTCGGCCAATCACAGGGCACTTGGCATGACGATTAGGGTTACTGCCCCCTTGGGGCCTAGCAGTTTAGGGCTTATGCGTTACCCTGCGAGCCTGTGGCGTGGCTAGCACTTCAGATTACGAGTGATATTACGTGTTACCGTACAACGCTGGAACCTCCCCCGCTTGCAGTCCAAACAGTGTGAGGCCTCAGATGCTACCGTATTGCGGGAAAGGAACACCGACAGTTGTCCCCGCTCGGAACTAGCTGGTCCGGTAGCCTCTGGTGCTTTGGAAATCCTCTCCATGCAAGGCACCGCGCCCTGCAACACTGGTACAGAAACTAATGAGAATCCGAAAAACAGTGCCTTGGGTCTCCCTTTTGGGAAACCTGGAGGTGCCATGCAATCATTCACTAACTTAACCCCCACCCTAGTTTGCAATTGGGCTCAGTGGAGAGCTCGGGAAAGCCAAGGGTCCACATGCGGGGAGAAGAAAAGGCTTTGACCGTTATAGTTTCAACGATACTCTCGATAAGGGTGATCATAGGAGATAATGGAGGACGGAAGAGGGGGAGGTGGGTATACCAGAGGAAGAATACTACCAGCCAAGGCGGTCGAGTTAGTGAGCGGAGCCCGTTTCACTTCTATGAGCGGTTCCATCAAGTTATATTAAAGCGAGGCGTAAGGCGCACTATCCCGAAAGACCAATGCCCTTCGTGCCCCAGCAGCGCTGTGCCAGTTACTTGAGGATATTCTCCAGGGAGACCGGAACGCTCTTCGGAGCGCATGGCGGAGATTGCCTTGATAGTAACTGAGGACTGACACAACATCATCACCAGTCACTTCATGGGCTGTAGCCTTTCTTGCTAACACCACATCGGGCCACTGATTAATAATGTTAGCATCCCTTACTACGGCATTTCCCATTCCATGCTCACATGGCAGAGTTGAAGTTAATGCTATGTATAGGTATTGCTACCTCAAGTGTCCGACTTCAACTTGGCTACACAAGTGGAAAAAACCGAAACTAACCACCCCGGCAAAGTCAAGCATTTCTTGTTGTTCGCAAGGCCAAAAGCACTGAACTTGTATCGATGCTGGCGGGTAATGTCTGGGTGGGTACGGGGGACAGGTCACTTGTGTGGACCAACTGCATACCCTATAGAGTGATTTTAGTACAACGGCGGCGAAGGATGCTCGTATGATATCATAAGTTATCTACTCGAGTACCTGTATAATATCTGCTCTGATCCTGTTTTCCGCCAGCCGGTGGCTACACAAGGCTAGGCGGCCCTTTCAATAGCTAGGATCACCGAATAGAATTAAAAAAATTGAACACACCCTAAAGTGGTAAGATGATAGAAAGAAACTCTGGGTAGAAATACCCCCAAAATTCGCTCATGTTTGTTTCTATAGAGCTTTGCTTCTTGATTGGCTGCGGTCTTGTTATCGGGTGGCCTTACTCTGCCTACGTCCGGCGGCGTGAGCAACACCTGGCTGCAAAGGCTCGGACTGAGGAGCCGACTTGCACAACGTGAACCTTGGGACATGGGTCAATAAATGCTTACAGCATATTAAGGGAATAACAACGCTCGAGCAACTCTCGCTTCAATCATAACCACGAGCTTAATCAAATAACCCTTTCACACGTGTGGCGGGGTGAAAAGGCTATCGAACTATCCTACCGCACGAGACCACTACTAAAAGATACATTGAGGACCCCTCAGGGACAAAATGAACTAAGGAACCAAGTTTTTACTGCCTTTGCGGCCCGACCCCCGGATTACTAACTGCCCCAGCTTTTCTTCTGATCGCATCAATTTGTTCCTGAACATTGACGTTCTGCAACTGCTGCATTCTAGCAGCCTCCTTTGTTTCCGCGGACCCATCCCAACCACCGGTTGCTACTCTCTTCCTGCGCTCTAATTCTTCCGCAGACACAGGCCTTCCGGAGTTCGAGTCGAATAGATCGTCTCGTTGGGATGCAAGACGCTTCAGGTTCATAACGGTGTCGTTGGTAGATAGGTTGGTGGTTGCTTGCTTAGAATCTGCACGAGCGCGTTGCTCTTTCCAGCGGGGATCAAGGAGCTCGACTATCAAAGTAGGTGTTAGACGCGCATATTATGTGAAGGTGCTGAGTAACCTACTTCTCATGTGCTCTTCCATCTCATCCAATGCAATACTTTGTTTACAGTTCGGACAAATGCCCATCGAGCCCTGCTGTCTCTTTGCCAGAGCCCGAGGCACATAGTCACTCCTAATCTTCATTTGGCCTTGGCCAGGTCCGGCTTTTGCCGCCTCCTGGGCTTGCCGTTTCCTGGTCTGTTCCTTTTGCCTCTCATCCTCCTCGTCGTCCGAAGCCTCCATTTCCATATCCATTGCGCCATTTTCTTCCTGCTGCCGCATATGTGTTTGCCATGGAGCTTCGACTGGCTCCGGGTCAGAAGTAGGCATAGCCTCCTCGATACGAAGCGTGGTTGGATGAAGTGACATCATTGCCTTCTGTTCGAGTGAAGCATGCTGCAGGTCTGAGAGGGATGTTGGAGGGGGAAGCTCCGCTTGGTCGTCAGCATCAGTGAAAAGAACTGTTTCGACAACGACGAAATCATGCCAATCAATTTGGGCATAAGCCAATCTCTCCTGGTCCTCTTGCTCCTCCTTCTTCTCTCTCTCTTTCTCCTTCCATCGGGTCCACTCCGCCCTTCCTCTAGCACGATCTAACAAGTCGAACCTATTCCTCACATTCTTTTCCAATTCCTCAACACTGACCCCTCCACCCGGCGATAGTAAATCCGTATATTGATCCACCAACCTCGAGAAGTACTGGTAAAATGAATGGTTGGGGCGCAAGAAATCAAACTGAAAGTTTCGAGCTTCTCGCTGTGAAAGTGTAGTGAGAAACGAACGGCCGTTTTTTGCGACAAACAAGGCGGTGAGCCTTAAAATATCAAGATCTTGCGCTGAAATATTTGGCATTCTTGCTGAAAACCGGAAGTCCGGGGGTTCCTTTGGACCTACAGGCTTCTCAGCCTCCACCGGTGGGTTATCAGCTGGTCCAGCTCTCCCGGCGGCCAGCGCAGTTCCACGGCCGGCTCGGATTTCCTCAAGCCGCCATATATAGAATTGGTAATAGGAGTCCGCTGAGTTCAAAAACGAGAATTTGGGATTATGTTTCTCCTTTTCGCGGATTCGCTCTGTAACTTGTTAGTAAAAGGTACAAGGAGATATTCTCGCGACGCGTTTACAATTTCCCCCGGGTATGTTCCTCAACCTTACCAGGAATCAGCCTGAGGAAATCAGAGAAGGAAGAAATGAAGGGGGAGAACCAAAACTTACGTTCAAACACTTGCCCATTACGCGCTACATAGCCCGCAGTCTTTTCGACGATGGCTGCGCGCGGGTTAGTTTCTAGAGGGGATCAGGGGGAAACAGGAGAGGAACAATACATACCTCGGAGATCTTTGGGGGGAAGAACCACTCCCTCCGGAGGTTTATTCACCTGATCAAAAGGCACAAACGTATCCTGTGCGGGAGTTGGGGTTCCGGGGGACATTCTCGATGACGGTGTTGGCGGCAAAAAATGATGTTCTGGTGGCAAGCCTCGAGGATGTGGACGAGTGGTACGGGACTGCACGCAAGTCCACCGAAAAATAAGTTACCCTGCCTTGTCTAGCCATAGAAGTGTGGTTACCCTGCAATGGAGTGTCGATAGTCGGCCAGCAGCAACAACAAGCTCCACAGTGCAACCACCGGCCAAAATCTTAACCCTTACACGAAGCGCCTCACAAACATCCAAAAACATGAGCGTATGACCCTTTAAAGCTTCTAATATCCCATACATTTTACTAATGGGTATACAGTCCTTCATCCCTATAAACCCCCGGCCGATGCTTCAATCGCTGTACGTCGCTCGAGCGCCTCCAGCCCCTCATCATTCCCTAGTACTGATTGAGCAAATAGGGTAAACCAGAGCGTTACCGTTCGTCTAAAGTGGGGACAGACTGAATATAGGGGAACGTTAGTTAGTGCTGATTCATATATGAATATCCAACTGTCCGGCACGGAAGAGTTTATGGATGGTAAGAGCACGGGTAGCTTGGGACAGGTTCTCATTAGGTATGCATTTCCCAGGCCAAGTCTTTGTTATTTCCTACACTAATTCATGATGTCTCGTATCAAGATGCAACAACGTCCTGTGGATATCTGGTAGTGGAGGCTCCGGGAGTGCAGATGTCAAAATGGACGGCTAGAGAAAGTGGTGCCGGGAGGATCGCACTACGGAAATAATACAGCGCTCGAAACGCGTTGAGGCGAGAACAAATTATTGGAACCCCATAGCAAATCTTGATTGGTGGGGATCCATGTTCTAGGGGGCTTAATACCATGATAACCATTGATATTTCCATGTCCGTCTTATTTAGTAGGTATGCTGGAAAATCGAGAAACTCTGTTATGACCACAATTACATATAACTGCCATTTTTCGGCTGCCACAGTACCGTATCCCGATGTTCCTGCATGTTCCCGAGGTCCCATTTGGGAGTATTTTCCCTCTTTTCTTTCGTTCCCATCGCCCATTGGTTAGCTTATTTCTAAGGTTAACCATAAACCCACCCCTATGATACAAAGCCGAATAATCGTGTTGCGAGGGTTATGATATGGGCTTTTAAGCGGAAGGATGAGAATAACATATGGTCCCAACACTCCATGATCACATTTGCCTATCGTCACTTCTGACAGTGGCTACTGGTATCCAAGTAACCTTTCTTTCAATTACGGTACTAATGCCATCCCCTCTATTCTATCAACATTCAGCTATTCGGGGGGGTTATTTCCGCTTTGAACAAGTATCTTTTACAATGCATCGGTCAAAAGCTTATTGAGCCTAGCCATCTTGGCTGAGACACTGAGGTCGATGGTCCGCTCACCAATCTCAACGACCAAACCCCCGAGGATTTCAGGGTCAACCTTTAAGGGAGATAGGGATCAGCAATTGTAAAGTAGCTTGTGCTACCGACAAAGAACTCGTACCTTATTAACAACTTTAAGCGTTTTACCTGCTCCGACGTACTGCGACTTAGAGATGGCGGTCTCAAGGCGACTGACAATCTTCGTGTCGAGTTGCTGCGCAAACAGCATGTTAACCCAAACTGCTCCGCCATATAAAACGAGAGTGCACGTTTCTTCCATTACTCCCACTATCACAACTCAACCTTTCAAACGGCAGCCGAGGGGTATTACCGAAGCAGAAGTAATAACAGCCTCAACCACTCCCTTGTGCGCGCCCATGAGTGTAGAGTATTTGTCAATAACTCCGCGTAGTAGACCAAGTCTGTTATTCTCGGCCAGTACCCCCAGAAGATTCTTAACCGCTTTGTCCGAAGCGATAGGCTTGGTGATTTCGGCGATTATCAGAGATTTATCGCCGGTATTGAGGGTAGGAGAGCCGATAATGGTCTCTAATTTAGGGTCCTTCTGTAGAAGCGCCTTGAGTGTTTGGAGGGATCTCTCGGTAGAATCGAGGGATTGGGTTTTGGCAGACGCAGTGTACTGTACCCAAGGGTTAGCTAAGGTCGATCGTGAGGACCCTCGGGGCCGTCGTCGAGGTAGAAAAGTTGTTATAGACATGAGTATTCACGATTTGTGATTCGGGGGCGTGAGAAAATATCTCAATCATAATCACAACAAGGTGGAGGGGCAAGTGGGGGGACAAACTAAGGCAGAGGCATATGTTCCGTCAACGCCGAACAGCTGAACCGGAGGCCTTGTGGAGGCGGTAGCGTACGCCCTCCCAAAACGGGGCACAATTGCCCTGGCGGTAGGGGCAGAGCGAATGGGAAACATAACAGCGATGAGCGGAGAGAGTATGAGACAGTGAGATGAGGGCGCGAAGGCTGATGATGGAGGAGGTTCGGCGTTGCGAAAAGGAATCGGGGTTGAGATCTCTCTGTTTTCCCCCCAATGAAACTGGGCACCCCGCAGCCACAATACCGTAGCCACATATACCCAGTGCTAACCCACTAGCCACAGCAAGCACTCGACGTATGATATGAATAGGACCCTGATTGTGCGGCCGGGTAATACTATTATTTCTGTATCATAGCGCTGACTGGACAACTTTCCTCTAACTAGAGAAGCTGTGGTCTACAATTTTGTGGAACCGCTGATTTGAAAGGGGGAATTCATCCAGGACGACAGCTACGACTTTGCGACTGGCAGAGCCGAAAAAATACACACATCTATCACTACCCCTCCTGCTCCAGCTTCATAATATACTTCCGCCATGAGGTATTCGAAAAAGGATGAAGATGCTGACCAGGCAATCTTCAAAGTTGACCGCACCTCTGTCTTCCAAGAAGGTATGCTTTGCGATTAATGTCAATAGGTGCCCTCGAGCTAATGCCACTGGCACCCAAGCTCGACTCTTCAATACATCTCCAATTTCTCCTCGACGTTGTCGAATTCTCTTAACAAAGATTACATATCTCCTGCATACCGGAGAGCGCTTCCCCACGTCTGAAGCTACGTCCCTCTTTTTTGGCATTACAAAGCTCTTCCAGCACCGTGATGCAGCTCTCCGACAGATGGTTTATTTGGTTATCAAGGAGCTTGCGGATACGGCAGAAGACGTTATCATGGTTACATCTTCCGTTATGAAGGATGTTGCCGGCTCAGGAGGCAGGGGTGCGGGGGAGCAGGAGGTTTATAGGGCCAATGCTATCCGGGCATTGTGTAGGATTATCGACGTAAATTTTTACTATCCCCTTTTCCCTACCCTCTCAAGTACCGGCATGTAGAAGATGCTTCTATCTTCTCTCCCTCTTAGAATAGTGGCAAACTTTCCGGTCTCCTCTGATGCGGCTTCTTTCGTCAAAAGATAAACACTGCTGTTAGTTTTATTTGCACAAGAGCTAACTATACGCACAGGGCACGACCGTTCAAGCAATCGAACGACTCCTGAAAACCGCTATTGTGGATAAAACTCCTTCTGTATCATCCGCGGCACTCGTATCGTCCTATCATCTACTCCCAACTGCACGTGATGTCGTCCGAAGGTGGGCAAACGAAACTCAAGAAGCTGTTCTCTCAGGTTCCAAATCATCTGCCTTTTCGTTAGGATTTGGCTCATCATCCTCTTCGACGCCCCAAGGATCCGGAATGACCCAATACCATGCGATAGGCCTTCTGTACCAAATGCGTGCTCACGACCGGATGGCTTTAGTCAAAATGGTACAGCAATTTTCTTCGGGGAATGTTAAGAACCCCGCTGCGGTTGTTATGCTGGTGAGGCTGGCTGCCAAGCTTGCTGATGAAGACCCTGGGCTGCGGAAACCAATGTATACACTACTAGACGGTTGGCTAAGGCATAAGGCTGAAATGGTCAATTTTGAGGCGGCGAAGGCTATTTGTGAACTAAGGGATGTGACAGATGCTGAGGTTGCACCAGCTATACACGGTGGGATAATGAACCACCCTTCTTCATATCATCGAGCTCAACACTAATGATTTCCAAAATTAGCCTTGCAACTCTATTTGACCTCACCTCGTGCGGTTGCTAAATTTACTGCCATTCGGATTTTGCATAACTTTGCGTCCATTAGGCCTGCGGCGGTTAATGTTTGCAATATAGATATCGAAACGTTAATCTCCAATACTAACCGTTCGATTGCAACCTTTGCTATCACAACTCTGCTCAAGACTGGGAACGAGGGCTCTGTGGATAGGCTGATGGGGAAGACCAGTGCAATCATGGCTGATATCACGGATGAGTTTAAAATCACAATCGTTGAAGCCATCCGTACCTTATGTTTGAAGTTCCCAACCAAGCAGGCCGGAATGTTAAGCTTCCTCAGCGGCATCTTGAGGGATGAGGGCGGTTACGAATTCAAGAGAGCTGTAGTAGAAAGCATGTTTGATTTGATCAAGTTCGTCCCAGAGAGCAAGGAAGAAGGTCAGCAGCGCAAATTCCTTTCCTTCCAGCGTTCTCAATGCTGATAATATCAATAGCTCTCGCCCATCTTTGCGAGTTCATTGAAGATTGTGAATTCACCAAGCTTGCTGTTCGCATTCTTCATCTCCTTGGCATTGAGGGACCAAAAACATCTCAGCCTACCAAGTACATCCGCTACATATATAACCGGGTTGTTCTTGAAAATGCTGTTGTTCGCGCAGCAGCTGTCACAGCCTTGGCTAAGTTTGGTGTTGCAAGCAAAGAAGGGAAGGTCGACCCTGAAGTCAAGAAGAGTGTTGTTGTGCTTTTGACAAGATGTCTTGATGATCCTGATGATGAAGTCAGAGATAGGGCTGCCCTGAATCTGAGGCTTATACAGGAGGAGGAGGGCGAGATCGCCGAAAGATTCATCAAGAACGAGTCGACCTTTTCCCTCCCGATTTTTGAGCACCAGCTGGTTATGTATGTTACGGGTGATCAGTCAACATTCGGTACGCCATTTGATATCTCCGGTATTCCAATTGTTACTCGTGCGGAGGCAGATGCAGAGGACCGGTCCCTCAAACTCCGTTCCACAACCATGCCAACTCTCAGGGCACCAACCACCTCGGGTGTGTCCAGGCCTCCGGCCGCTCCGTCAGCAGCAGAGGCGGCCACATCTGCTGCAGCGGCTGCTCAACAGCACGCCCAGCAATTGGCTGCTGTTCCTGAATTGAAGCCCTATGGACCACTCCTGAAATCTAGCCGCGAAGTGGAGTTGACTGAGGCAGAGACCGAATATGTGGTTACCGCGATCAAACACATTTTTAAGGACCACCTAGTTCTCCAATTCAACGTCAAGAATACTCTCACTGATACCATCCTAGAGGATGTGTCAATGGTTGCTACCCCTGCAGATCCTGAGGACGAGGAGCAAGTGCTTGGCTTGGAAGAAGACTTCATCATTCCTGTGCCCAAGTTGGCAACTGAGGAAGTCGGAACAATCTACGTCTCTTTCAGGCGAACTGGCGAGGAGTCCAATTACGCTATCACAACCTTCGCCAATGTCCTCAAGTTTACACTAAAAGAGATTGATCCTAGCACCGGCGAACCGGAAGATCAAGGCTTTGAGGACGAATACCAAGTGGAGGATTTGGAGCTTACCGGTGGCGATTATGTTGTTCCATCGTTTGCTGGAAGCTTTGGGAACGTTTGGGAACAAGTCGGCGCTGCAGGTTCTGAAGTTACAGAAACCTTTTCTCTCGGAACTGGCGTCAAGAGCATTCAAGGTATTCATTTCATCCGCTAATCGCCCTTTTCTCTCAGAGATACTGACAAACATCAACAGAGGCCTGTGAGGCGCTTTCCCAGTCGCTTTCTCTTCAGCCATTGGAAGGCTCAGATGTAGTTGCGAATACGGCTACGCATAACCTTAGGCTTTTCGGCAAGACCATCTCTGGTGGCAGAGTGGTCGCCCAAATAAAGATGGCGTACAGCAGCAAGAGTGGCGTTGCGTTAAAGATTACCGCGAGAGCGGAGGAGGAAGGCGTGGCGGAGATGGTTGTCGGTAGCGTTGCCTGAGGGATTGTGGAGTGGGGGAGATAAATGGGGTGTGGGGATACAGAAATTTGATGGTTCTTTATGTTTGTGATAGCACTGTTTTACGTTTCAACGTGGATAATTTCTTGAGTTTTCGCCAAGCTCAAGGGATGGGCTCTCTTACTCTACGATGTGGGACTTATTGCTGTGTATTTGTGCCCTTTTGTAACATAGGTTTTGACTCGATAGAGACCGGTTTGATAAAAAAAATAAAAATATGATGGGTTCACGTCATATCACTCGTCCTTTGCACCATCGAGGTAGGAAAACCACGCACCTAGCGTCTAGTGCTCTCGCCAGCTTCGCATCATTGTAATGATCGATATGGCATACCGGTGGGTATTCATTTGCATAGCGAGGCAAGACTAGGGTATGGTGCGGTGCATGTACTATGATTGATTGCATTACGGTATTTTAGAGGAATAAGATCAAGCCTAGCTTTTCATAGGAAACAAAAAGAAAAGAAAAGAAAAGAAAAGAAAAGAAAAGAAAAGAAAAGAAAGAAACATAGTAAGAAAGAACAACGGAAGCCCAAACTTTCGGAATAACGATATTGTGGAGTTGTTCTCTTGCTCCCTTGCAAGAAATAATTTGGGAACGACGATACTCCATTTTTATATCAAAAAGCCCCCCTAATCTCCGCAGGGGTGGCCGCACTCACACACTGTTGTTGCCCACCCTGTCCCTTATGGCCATTTCGGTCGTGCAATCGCAAAACGGCCGTCTACCCAATGATAAAATATATATAGGGAAAATAAAGAATAGGGTAAAAATGAAACAGCTAGCTTATGGCTGACGGGTTTCAACCATCCTCGACAGTGGGCTTAGGAGGCATGACGGTGGAGGTGGGCGCCGAAGATGGTTGAGTAGAAGCGGGAGCGGCCGACTTCTCATCGGTGATTTCGGTGATCTTGCCTTCAATCGCTGTCCTCTTCTCGCCTTTCTTGGACTTCTTAACCTGCGCAATGGTTAGCCACAGGACCGGCAACTGAATAATCCGCCAATGGGTCATACCTTGTGCCATGCCCAAAGGGGCCTGAAGCTGTCAAAGAAGCCAACATCCTCGAACAAGTTCGGGTACAGCCAAATGCCAGGGGACAGCACAACAGTGGTAACCAAGAACAAAATAAGCCTGAAGATGCTCATCAAGATGAACAGCCCAATAAGCCCTAGCATGCCCATGGACAGATACCAAACCCCCAGTCTAAGCATTGGCGGCCAAAGCGGGAACATGACGACGAGCAGCAAAACGACGATAACGCCGATGGCCATGATGGTCTGCTTCCAGGTGCGCGGCTCGTAGAACCACGTGTAATATAGCTCACCGCGCAACTCCTGTTGTTGTTCGATCTTGACGGTCCAGAGCCCCTTGATCCGCTTCGCAGGTTTGCCGTGCGAGTGCCCGTGGCCGTGACCGTCATCGGCTCCCGGGTCGATCTTGCTGACGCGGAGAGCTAGGAGGTTGCGTGGGAGGAGGGAAAATGCAAGGATGGCTGAGTTGTGGTCTGTCACCGAGGGCAGAAGGGCGTTCTTCTTTCGAGCTTTTGTGTAGGCTTCTGACATGAGGGCTCGGAGGGCTCGCTTGACTATGGTGCGTCGTTACCATCGTTAGCCATTTCCTCCACACATTATATCAAATTGCAGATAACGTAGTCTCGGTCCTCGCGAGATTGCACCCTTCAAAAGATCCCCCTTGCCGGTGATCGCTCATCGCCCTGAGAAGGCATCCTCCTCCCGAGGGATGAATCTTACGAAGGGCACAATCCCATGAGCAGCTGCGTCACCCCGGAAAGAGGAAAGGTTGCAGGATGAAGGCGGGGACGTGGGATTACCTTTAAACAAATCCTTCCTCTGCCCCTGCAAGATACAAGTCCTGCACTTGAGATCCTGCGAACGAAGGAACTCGGCCACAGCCAGTGCTTCCGGAGAGGCTGTTGGGGGTGACTGGGCTACAGGAGCAGACATTTTTTTATTTATTTCCTTTCTCTCTTTTCAGGAAAAAGTTGTGTCTTCGCGAAGCTGTGTATTTATAGCAGGGAGGAGGGTGAAGGTAGTTGCCGCGGGGCGGTTTGTCGCGATGAGGAAAAGGGAGAGAGGGTAGAAACAGCCAACGTTCTGGAGTGTACGAGTACGAGTACAGTACCATGCCAGTACTGCACAGTACGCTCTGGTCGGGGGCGCGGGAACTGAGGACACCTCTCGTTATAATTTAGCTGTGGCGGCGGGTAGTGGTGGCTGGCGACGCCACAGCCGTCCGGGATTTTGGAGGCACTGAGGCCGGATTCCAAAGGGAGCTCGATGAGATGAAGTGAGATGAGGAGTTGGCGCTATTACCACCGCGCTTGTATCCTAATATACTCCACCCGAGTAATCACCATACCGGTTCTGCCGGCCTGGTTTAGTGTAATGCTTGTCGGGAACATACCCTACGGCACAGTCTAACTGGTATCTGCTCGTACTCGTTTGATGCTGGTATACGAGCTACAGGAGTCCTGGGGATCAATGCTCGTACTCGTACAATCATTTTCTCCGCACAATCGCAGTATATTATGGAACGCCCCAAAGCTTTTCCCAGTGCTTTCTCTTTCGGGTGTCGAGGGTCGTATTATCCTCATCTTATCAGACCAACACATTACCCGTAAGTTACTCTAGTCCACACCTTCTCACTCGAGTCCAGCTCTTCGCGCATGTGGAGGCCCCTTCTTGGCACTGAAACTACGAGCAACCCCACTATCCATCTATCCACACAACCCCGCCGACACCCCCACCGCTCCCGTAGTCCCGCCGAAACAGCTCAAATCCCATGAGCAGCCGCAAAGATAGGAAGCCCCCCGGGGGGAAGAAGCAAGCGGAAGAACAGCGGGAGAATGTTCTGCAGGCCGTTGTGGGTTGAGCCTTCTCGATTCCTGTCTGGTTGGTGGGAGTTTCTGACTCGGAAAATCGGTTAGGTTCTCGCGGATTCCTTTGAAAACCGATTTAGGCCGTTTACACTGGAGACTCCTAGGGTAGGGTGTCCCTGATATTCTGTCCGCGGGTGGTGGCCCAAAGTTTGATTTTTGCCTGAGTTTATAGTGCCTTCTCCCCTTAGCAAATACGCCTCTGATCGAATATACTCTTGAATTTCTTGCTCTTTCCGGGGTCCAAGATGTTTTTATATTCGCCTCTAGCCATGCCGAGAAGGTTGAGGAGTACATTCGGTTTGTTTGCCCCCTATCGTTCGTTTTCTATCCGCCTGGCTAACTGCTGCGCAGTTCCTCAAGGTGGGCAAAGAAGTCGTCGCCTTTCAAGAATTGTCGAATTATTCTGTCACCGGCCAGCGTTTCCGTTGGCGACGCCATGCGTGAGCTCGACTCCAAGCAACTGATTACTACGGACTTTTTGATGGTGCATGGGGATTTCATAAGCAACCTACCGCTTGGGGATGTCCTGGATGATCATCGGAAGCGTAGAACTGCGGATAAAAATGCAATCATGACCATGGTTCTGAAGGAGGGTAGTAGTGGCCTCCGGGCAAAGTAATCTCCCAACTCGAGCTTTTGAGGAAGAGGAAGGATGTTGATTTGAAGGCAGGGATAAGGGCGAGAAAGGTGTATTTCTGATCGACCCTGCTACAAATCGGTGCGTCTACTATGACGAGATTGCTCCATACGGAAGAGGCGGTGCCCTTGTGCCGCGTGAACTATTGAAAGACCATTCCGAACTTCAGATAAGGAATGATCTGATTGATTGCTATCTGGATATCTGCTCTCCCGACGTGCCTGCTCTATTTACGGAGAACTTTGATTATCAACATATCCGTCGGCATTTCCTCCACGGCATTCTGACTGACTACGATCTCTATGGGAAGACTGTTCACACTCACATCATCAAGGGCTACTACTTGGCCCGTGTGAGGAGCCTTAAAGCATATGACGGGGTTAATGGGGATCTGATGGAGCGATTGGCATACCCGGTGGTCCCCGATACTAATTTCCTAGACGGCCAAAGCTACACCTCCACGATGGGGAGCCGCTGCATAGACGAGGGCGCGTTCCTGGAGCAATCGGCTATTATCAGGCCATTGACGATTATTGGAGCCGATACAAGTGTTGGTGAAGGAAGCGTCGTGGGAACCAGCACCATCGGCAGAAATTGTGATATTGGATCAGGCGTGGTTATTGATGGATCCTACATCTGGGATGATGTAGCCATTGGAGATGGGTGTAGAATATACGGCTCAGTCATTGCTAATGGAGTAAAGCTGGGAAAGGACTGCATTGTTGAGAGGGGGGCGTTGATATCCTATAACGTAAATATTCTGGATGGCATCACCATTAAAGCAGGAAGCAGGATCACCGCCTACAAGAGAAAATCTGATACGGATTCTGATTCTGATGATAAAGAGGATAAGGACGATTCGCTTGGCGGGCACGAGTATGAGGATTCGGAGTCCGAGGATGAGGATGAGGTTATAAGGTCCAAGATGGATAGCTTGGGTAAGCTACAATCTCGGCAGTACTGTTCACGATTCTTTGAGCTGACCTCGAAATTGCAGGCTTTCAGGATGAAGATCTTGTCAATGATTCAGAATCCTCAATATCCACGGTTTCTGACGACGATGAGGATTCCGATGACGGTATTACCCCTGGGGATAAGAAGCTCAGAGAGCGCTCAGATTCAGTGGCAACAGCAACATCGGAGGATAATGCCGAGGCGGATGCATGGCATAAGGAAGCAGCGGTATCGCTACTCACGGCTATGGAAGGAGACCACCCCGTCGAAGTGGCTTCGTTGGAGCTCAATGGTCTTAGGATGACAGCCAATGCATCTTGGCACCAGGTCCGGAAAGCCGCAGTCTCTGCCCTTCATGGCCGCATAGAACAGGTTGTGGCCACCCAATCGAAGGGCCTGCCAAAGGCTACCAATGAAGTCTTTACCCGTTGGGAGCCCCTCGTGAAGCGTATGATCTTTGACCAGGCAGACCAATCGGATTTCCTGTTACTGGTACAGAAGGACTGCGTTGGAAGGAAGAATGGGGGTAGCCTTCTCCTGAATGTTGCGCAAAGGGTCTTTGACCTGGATATAGTGGAAGAGGAAGCCATCAATGCCTGGTGGGCGAACGAGAAGAGCTCCACCAGTGCAGGTGGAATGGGCAAGGTTAGGCAAGCTACTGAGGTTTTCGTCAAGTGGCTTGCCGAAGCAGAGGAGGAGTCCTCAGAGGGGGATGAGGAGGATGAGGATAGTGATGATGAATAAGGTGGCCTCCCCTGCATCTTGGTTTGTTTATGTATAGAACGATAGATACCGTGGTTCGTGTGCGCCCCATCGATTTCCCACTGGGAGTTTAATATGGATCTTCCTTCCTGTATAGTAAAATTATTTTTTAACTTCAATTGAAGAAGGGAATTCGATGGGTTCACGTATATTTCTGCGTTAATTGCCCGATCGGGCAGCATCGTGGCACTGATGCAAGACCGGGTTCCGAATTACCTGAGCAGAACTGTAATCGCAGAAAAAGTGAACACGGAACACGGAAGACAGAAGCTGTAGATCACACTATAGCCCTTAACCTGGTGAGACATTCACTCCAGATTGAAATGTCTAGCACTAACCTATTTGGGGAAGTGGGAGTAAATCTACGCTGAATTTCTTGCTCCCATCATGGCCATACTGAACAGTACAGATTTTACGGAGTTCTGAGCACTACACCACTTTTGGAGCAGGCAGTTTTTCCTATCACGATTACCTAAATAAGTTAGTGCTACACATTTCAATCTGGACTGAATGTCTCACCAGGTTAAGGGATAGTGTATCCATTTTCCTGTAGAGAAAATTTGCTTTACTCTTTAGCCCGAGTTCGCTAGATTAATGGATGTGACAAATACTATACTTTTATTTCTCTGTAAAGCTATGATATTATAATATTATTATAACTGTAATAGTAGTAGCAGATAGTATATGATTCCTGTAGTCCTAACTTGAAAGTGGGCTACGCAAAGCTATTCCTATCTGATGTCTCCATGCTCCTATGGCTTCTACTGTCAGAGCAGGTAAAAACTCTTATAACTTATAAAAACAGGCTTCTTTAACTGAACTAATATATTCAACCCAAACTGTATTAATTGATAGGAGGTATCTGCATATTTCAAGCTTCTCTCTTCAGTTCTTTACTAGTATTGTTGGTTTATATAAACTCTCTATACTTTAGTAGCTATCTCAAGGCCATAGTACAGAGGGCCTGTATTAGAATACTAGCAGGTACAGGAATAAATAGAATCATTTATACAAATACTGTGACAATCAGGGGATGGTTTTCAACAGTTTTATAGCTCTAATACAATTTAGTTTATCGGCTATTCAAGTAGATCATTAATTTACACCACTTCTGTTAAAGTAAGATTTTTTTATAAGAGGAATATTTATTTAGATACAATGATTGCCAGTGGGCTTGCACTGAAGCAGTAGCTAGTTTGAATAAAAATGTTCCTACTAGTTGTACAAACTTGAACTTGAATCTCAGTGGTCAGGCCAGGATATGTCTATATACATACTTACCAGTAGGCTTATTACTCCTATAGATAGTATATTGGTAGTCTATTTACTAGAAATTAAGCATAATTAAGAAATACTATAGTATTTTTGGCATGTCGAACAGGTCCTGAATTAAACATTTGACAAGTAGTGGAATCCGTGCAAGGGGTGACAGGAACGTAATGTTGTAAAGGTATCAGGATTATCAGATGATCCAGATAGTGCTCCGTATGGGGGGGTTGCTGCAGTCCTTGTGCCCTAATAACTTTAGCGTTCGAGAAGACCAGAAGAACAAAACCCCAGAGCCTCATGGACCAAATTGTCTTGGAAGGTGGCTGTCGTTACCAGATTGGGCTTAGTCAACGAGAAGGGATGACAACCCTTCAGTAAAAGTTTCCGCCAAATTTCAATCTTCAACCTTCCACCCGTTTTTCTCACCCCACCACTCTCGCTACATCTACCCACCCCTAATCGCCGACGCTCCTTCGATACTCGCTCACTCTCAGGAAAGCATTTTAACGAACAAGTCTCAAACACCCACTCTTTCATCATAATGTCTGACTACGGAGGAGGCGACGATGGGGAGAACGAGTAACCACCCCTCAAGATATCCCATACATATCCCACTATATTGCACCTCACCCCCCCTCCCCTCAAAGCGGAAGCTGACCCCAAACCCAATAATGGCAACAACAACAACAGCTTCGCTCAAGACGCCTACGAAAATGACTACGAAGAGAATGACTTCGACGCCGACCCACAAGACATCCTCTCGGACAACGGCGATGAGAACGGCGTGACCAACGGGAATCACGACTACGTAGCCTCCGGCGATCCGGCCGCGACCGCGGCAGCAGCTTCTGGCGCGGCGCGCGGTGGAAAAGATCCAAAGCGCATTCCCGACGACAAGCGTACCACCACCCCATACCTGACCAAGTACGAACGCGCTAGGGTGCTCGGGACCCGGGCGCTACAGATCAGTATGAATGCGCCGGTACTCGTTGATACCGGTGGTGAGACGGACCCGCTGTTGATCGCTATCAAGGAGCTGCAGGAGAAGAAGATTCCACTGGTTGTCAGGAGATACCTGCCAGATGGATAGTGAGTTTTTTTCTTCTCCTCCCCACCCTTCCTCCTAGGCGGATGTTGGGCAGTATTTGTCGGTGCTGACTAGTGGCGCAGTTATGAGGATTGGACCTGCGATGAGTTGCTCTAAATTTCCCGCTATTGTGGATGTAATGGTGATATATCAATTGGATGGAGATGGTCAGTTGTTTGTGGAGCTTTCGTCTCTCCACTGCGAAATCAAAAAATCAAAAATCCTGTTCGCTGTCCATTGGAGCGGGAAACCAGAGATCGGAGTCACAAAGGCAGGGTCTACTTTTCAGTTTTTTTCTTATATTTTTTGTTTCCTTCATACGTTTTACTCTTTACCCCTTTGACATCAATATTATACTGTTCGCGATTGATTCTTTAACAATCGAATACTAGTAACCTTCTACACTAGACTGGGTAGCGCAAGGAGAGGTAGTCTCCCTGGCCTGCATTTGCTCTCTATTGTATAATAGTAAACAATTGAATTGAGCTTCTTTTTTTTAAAAAAAAAACCCCCTCTCTCAGGTTTTGGCTCCAGGCGCCGTATTGGCACTATGAAGCTGCACAAGGCCAATGGTGAAATCCCGGCATCACAATACCCGAACCCATTCCCTAGGCAAGGGAAACTAGCCCCGCCCATACCATACTGTAAAACATCAAACCCCACAATCCATCATAATATCACGGCAAGAGGCGGAACATCGCGAACCCGAATCTCCCCGTAAGATCAGTCACAAGCACGACGGTGCGCACAATAGTCTACCCGGCACCACACGCGTGACCGACCACACACGTCCGTCCCATATCCATCCGCCCCACGCGGTGAAAGTTCGAATTATCATCATCATCATCATCGTTATCGTCATTCTCATACCATAACCTATGTACGAGTACCGGTACAGTACGGTGCACTACCCGATCAAAAAATACCCCGTCATCGTGAGGCCATTTCGTCCCCAATTATCGAGCGCGGTACTTGTACAGTACAGCACAGTACCGTTACGGTGTTTGCGGCGGTGTGGGTTATTGTTGCACTGTAGAGTACAGTACAGTACCGTAGCCGCAATTCGAAGAGGAAGTGGGAGGAGGGGGTGTGTGTGTGTGGGGAGAGAAAGCTCCCGCTGCGGGGATGGTGGAGGTTATCGTATTCACCCACCTATCCGTCGTTGTTAGCGGGTTGGAGCTTTGGGAGGTGGAGAGGTATGGTATCATATGATATTCCGAAATTTCCATTCCAGGGGGGGGAGTTCGGGGGGAAGATATACTAGGTGTTTTGGTAAAAAAAGGGGAAAAAAATGTCTCGCTGTTCGATTTTTCCTCTGTCTTCCTTTGTTGGTTATGATGGGATGGTTTGGACTATTCACTCCTTTCCGACGGGTTGATACCGGTACAGTACTAGTACTTGTGAATGCGGTATGTATTATAACGGGCAAGATATGGGACAATCCTTACAATCACGGACCCTCACTCGCTACAACTGTTACTGTGCTAGTGCGGTATCATACGAGTACTGTACTCGTACAACCTTTATAAACTTGGCCCCTAGCACGCGACACGAGTACCGTAACCGCCACCCCGGACCAAGTCAGCCGGGAGAGATAAGAACTATGATACGAGTAGAAAAAAAATGGTTTCAAAGCGTACTAGTACTAAAGGGGGGGACTAACCCGTTGCATACGAGTACCGTACTCGTACATCCTGTATTGCCTCCTATCGGTCAGGGTAGCAGTACAGTACAGTACTGTACAGGGCTACAAATTACTCGTAACTTACAAGAATATATATAATCTCAAGTTCAGTTGTTATGATGATATGATAACCATTCTTCCAAGTGGGAAAAAGTTGGTTTTGGGAATAATTTATGAGATTTGAAAGAAGAAGAAAAAAAAAACTTACATCTTCTTTAATAATATTACAGTACGCACCGCTGAAAAGGAAAATAATACAAAAACTTGACATGAAATTATGGAAAATGATGATTAACCATCTACGGTATGATGATTTAGGATGATGAGTTGAACTTCTAACTAACTTAACTCTTCGGATACCGGTACAGTTTTACATCTGACAACCCTGTACCCCGACCAATAAGAGGAGGTATTACAGGATGCAACGGTTTTGGTCCCCCTCCCCCTCCCCCTCCCCCATGCTACCGTACCCACACCTGTTGTCTTCCCTTCCTTCTCCTTCTTCTCCTTCTAACCCGCGTTAGAAACGCCCCGCTACTGCGCCAAACTTGACATTTCACTTCAACATCCGTTGAACTTCACGGTACGATGTCACCACGAAAACTCACCGGGAAGCCAGAGGAATTGGCGGCGTTCGTCGATAAATTTGATGTTTGAACCTTCCCCTTCCAGTCCACGCAGATGTCCATTGGGGACCGGAGCTATGACTAACTAGCGCTTCCCAGATCTTCCTCTTCGACTGCGACGGTACCCCCCCCATTCCCCACCCCCCTCACTCACTCACTCACTCACTCACCCCTCTCAAATATACCTAACAATCTCGTCCCAGGCGTCCTCTGGCAGGGTGGAACCCTCCTCCCGCGCGCGGCGGAAACCCTCGCCCACCTCCGCAGCCTGGGCAAGAAGCTCCTCTTCGTGACGAACAACTCCACAAAATCTCGCACAGCCTACCAGAAAGTGCTCCAGGACTTTGGCATCCCCTGCAGTGTCGACGAGATATTCTGCAGTTCCTACTCCTCCGCCGTCTACATATCCCGCGTGCTTCAACTTCAACGGGACAAGAAAGTCTACATGATCGGCGAATCCGGCATGAAGGAGGAATTGGAGGCGGAGGGGATCTCCTACTTCAGTGACGGTAGTGGCGATATCATGCCCGAGGACTACGACACTTTCGGTCCGGATGAGAGTGTCGGTGTCGTCCTGTGCGGGATCGATCGCACCATATCGTATAGAAAGTTGGCGCGGGCATACCAGTACCTGCGTAATCCCGGGACAGTCTTTCTGGCCACGAATATGGATTCGACGTATCCCACGAATGGCAAGTTGTTCCCCGGAGCTGGCTCTGTGTCTGCGCCTTTGACCTACATGACTGGGCGCCCGCCCTTGTCACTGGGGAAACCGTCGCAGGCCATGATGGATGCCATCGAGGGGGTGCTCAAGTTTGATAGGAAGCGAGCTTGCATGGTTGGGGATCGCCTGGATACAGATATTCGCTTCGGCATTGAGGGCGGCTTGGGCGGGACCTTGGCCGTTTTGACAGGCGTTTCCACCGAAGAGGAGATCCTCAAAGAGGGGGCCACTGTCGTGCCTGATGTCTATCTCGATAGGCTTTGTGATATCCTGGGGTGACTGCTTTCTTTCTTTTTTTTTTCCTTTTTCCTTTTCCTTTTTTTCTTCTTTTCTTTTCTCCCTGATGTTTTCTCTTATTCCCCAGAAATGTTGCTGGAGTGCATCCTAGATTACCTGGTTAGACATGTCAAATAAATGGGCCCAACCTAGCATAGACGTGACCGAATGGTCTGCCGTACTATAGAAAATGAAAACCTGCAAGAAAGAAGAAAGAAGGAAAAAGAAAGGAAAAAGAAACAGACGGAAAGCACTCGGTTCAAGTACGTTTTTTTTAATTTTTTATGATAACTCCATTATTGCAAGGTTTTGAATGTGGATGTTGGTTGGTTTACATTTATCAGCTTATCGTCCGTCTCCCTTTCTCGTCTTTTTTTCGTTTTATCAATTACCGGCTAACCCATGCTCCCACCAGGACATAACTTAATGAATGGAAGAGAGAGAGAGAGAGAGAGCCTTGGTATCCCTACTGCAGCACCGTCTGAAAGGAAATGAAACAAGGGAAACCAAGCAAGAAGTAAAGGAAACAAAATCACCATAGCTTATAGCGTATAAACCTGCGTACAATCATAGATCACCAGAATGGAAAAGAAGGAGATTAGTGAAAATGAGAAACGAGAAAGACCCGCCACACCAAAGCAAGTATTTAATGGCTTCAACTGAATCACGAGTTTATGTTCCAGATGGAAGAGGGGGGGAAATGAAAGTCTCAAAGGAATGGAAGCGAGAAATCTGGCCGTGCCACATCTATCTAATCCGTATCTCTGGTCCCCCGGATCTGCCCCAGGTGCGACTGTTCTTATCAACGTGGTCTAGCCCAAGCAAATCATCGGCCTCGGAGGCTACGTCCGCAAGTATGTCCTCTATGGCGAGAATGTTAGCAAAGGCTTTATAACCAAACCATAAAAGTAAGGGGGCGCTCACCGTCCGACAGATATATGGGCTTCGGGACGCTTGATTTTCTGACGACGGCAAACTTAATCTTCTCAAATGGTTTGCCTTTGATGCCTGTTCGGATTTGCAGCCGCTCTTTGGTTTTCTCAAAGATCTCTCCCTGTAGAAAGAAGGAAAGAAAGAAAAGCCAACTCTGTTAGTCCCGCGTTTAAGACACAAAGAGCCGAGGAACGATCGTATTTACCTGCTTGACGACAAATCTGAAAGGTATCCCAAAAGAGTGAGCCTTACTTGGCTCTTTGTGGAAATGGAAAGCATTGATAAATCGGTCGCCTTCCTCCATTTCTAGCTCCTCAGTTGGCTTACGCTCGGCAAACAAACTCATGTAGTCTTGTATCCCGGTTACATTGAAAGTGATCTCCAATTCTTTGTAGAACTTGCCAAGGTGAGATTCGTAGAACCTCAATTTCGATGCAGTTTCTTCGTCCAAATCAAGTTTCTTTTGAAGTATTGCAGCGATGTCTTGAACTTGGCCATTCTTGGGGACCAAGATCTCGACCAGCTCCTCCTTCACAATACCCTCAGGCAGCCAGTACAGCTTAAGGGTTTTCATCGTCTCGAGTTCGGTGAGTGACAACTCCAAAACTTCATAGTACAGACTATTTGGTGAGATGGTGGTATTGCTATAATAGGTGGTTGTAAGCATCTGATGGAGCGTCATATTGGGATTTCGCTTGATTATCGACCGAGCACCTCCGGTAGCAGCATTGATGGTGGTAAATCTTAGATGCGTAGGTGGCGCATCGAGGTAGTCACCAACTTTGTCTGCGAGCTATCACCCAAAATATTAGCAATCGCTCGACGCAGCCGGAGGTTTGTATATACCTGGTCGTATGTCATTTTCTTGTTAAGTGTCAGGTCGAAGACTTTCCCCTCGGTGACATGGGAATTCTTTGGGCGAAACTTGATGACAGTTCTGTTGACCAAAAGATCATAAAAGTCCTTGGCATCCGGAATAAAATTTTCTCGCAAAAGTGCTTGTGCCCTGCATTAATGTAAGCGATTTCTGCTTGGTTCAAGTGGGAGGGTTTTCGTACTCTTTTTCGGTGTATGCTTTCTGAAAACATATAATATCGCCATCCTGAATCTCAGCCTGGTTGAAGGTTTGCTTCGACTTCATGGGTTCAATCATTTGTGGTTTTATTTCCTACAATTATATCAGCATTGTGGTCTACCGGAAGTGAGAGCGGGGTGAGAACCTCATAAAGCTTCAGAGATGTGCTTTGCGGCCAGTTCATTTCAGTCAGAATCGCGGGTATTAGTTCTCCAACTTTGTCATTTTTCCGCATGTATAAGTGGCCAACCCCGCGCAGTGACTGTGACTCCGGGTCATAACGTTTTAGAAACACAACTATCCAAGCACTGTTTGAATCTCGAGCCTGAGCCCAGGGCTCCAGGTTTTTGCCTGGTTTAGTCTCAGTTGCAACCTCCGCCCATAGTCTAAAGTCGCTCGACTTGTTGTTGTGCTTATTTGAGGCGTCCTCAATACCTAATGTTCTAGCATTAGAAGATTGGATCTTCTTGAACAAAGAATCGAGGACCATACTCATTTCCGGTATAGTGAGAGGTTGGTCCGGACGAACGGTCTTATTCTGGCGATTGACCATTATCCATAATCTCACGTTGCTAGGGTCAACACGAATGTCTGTCGCTACTTTTTCAACAAGGTCTTTAACCAGTGAAGCTTTGAGGACCCGGTAGTGCCTTGGCTGGGCCTCCTCGGGCTGATCCTTGTCATCCCAGGATGTAAGATCGAAACCTTGGTGGGCTTTAAACTGACTCTCCGTTATGACCTTCACGTTAAGGTATAGGTGCTGTTCATCCCTTTCTCGCTTGCGCAATTCACGATTTGCTCTTTCCTCGTCCAGTTTCTTCTCTGTTTTGCCAATCAGCCCCGCCTCAACCTGTAGGACGCCCTTCTAGGGGGAGAGGGGGAGCGAGGGAAAGCGCAAAACTTACGGAGATGTGGAGGTGTGTCGGCTTCGGTCACTGCGGGTAAAATCTCGTCGATCTTATTTTTCCGGAGATAAACCAACATGTAGGCATTCATGGATCTTTTGATAGAGATGGCTCGAGCTTGTGGGTTTCTCGGAAGCCCATTAGTAGCTGGCCCATAGTCACCTCCAAAGTTCTCATCCATTGTCTCCCTCAGGGTTGCCTTCGTCACGCGGTCATCATCAAACTTCAAGAACCTGCCATCCTTCTCGGGTCTCAGAAAAGCGTAATAATGGCCCGCGTTAAGATCACCGCTATGTACCAAAACACTAAGTCGGGTTAGAATTGGTAGCAATTTTTAGGCTAGGATAACGAACCCATGTAGGGCATATGTATAGGGCTCCGACTTATCAGCATCTTCGGAGAGATACGGCGCCGCATCAAATTCCTCGGGAAATTCGTAATGGTCGTTCACCTATCATGCAGGAATAATCAAGTCAGTGGTGATCAAAATGGCGGACTGGGCGATATACCTTCTGCATCGCATACGTGTTCAAATCGTACTCAAAGCGCTTTAGATGCAGATGCAGGACTTCCGGGAAAGACTCAAATATCACTCCCTTCTTCGCGTCTTGGAGTCCATGGCCTTCAGCAAAGTATTTATTCTCCCCATCCATCGTCTCTACCGCGATATAATCCCGGAAAGACCCATCCAAGTTTTTGAAGCCTCGCACGTTGAGTTGGATATCCCAAAAGTCCTCAATCCTCTCGGACGTGTAGTCCACATTGATGCACTTGATATAGGTTTTTGTCTTCCCTACAAACAATTTCGTCAGAGAATTTTCCGCCTGGGTTCCCTTCATCTTCTGCTCCAAGCTCTCCATTAAAATGCGATTGAGTTCCTGGACATCTTGTTGGGCAAATATATCCTGTGTCTCCCATCCAAAAGATCGCGTAAGCTCGTAGGTCCCAACCGCCTCATTGGATGTCTGAAGAAGATAAAATAAGCGCTGCAGAGTAAGTGCGCTATTTGAGAGCGGCTCGTTCTCGGTAGGAATTTGGTAGACGGCCTATGAATTTCCATTAAAATATGTCCCCACATGTCCAAAGTCGTGTATTTACCTTCCGAAAGCTATTGGTGAAGTATAGCGACTGCAACAGGGAGTTAAGGTAGCATGTAGCACCTTGATTCTTGAGTCCAACATAGCCAGTTTCTTTTTTTGAATCATAGCTAAGTCGACGTTCAGCATCAAAGATCATTACGTTATTCTAAGGAGCATACTTTAGGAAGTTATGCCACAAGACGCCCGTCGGATCCTTTACGACACGAACGTACGCCGTGAGGTTCGCGGATTCATCCTCAACTAGTGGCCGCGCCCTCTCCTTTGTTGGACACATTAACGACCTCAGCTCAGCAAATTTAGTGAACCCCCAATCACCTTCATCGGCGGTGAAACGGTGATGGGCCTCTAAAACCGGGGACCTTGTCAGAAAAGGCATACTCATCATATCCAACAGACTAAGAAAGCTCACGGTGTGTCACGTGTACCGATGGGTCATTTGGATTCCAAAGTACAAGGCCAAATTGAACGCATTTATACCAATTCTCGGGAGGTTTCTCGTCGAAGCCCTGCTCAAGGTAGAAGGATGTGAAATCACAATTGTTTCCTTGGGGGAAAAAGAGAACACGCCTAAAAACTTGTTAATGGGCATTCGCGGATGATTATCGGCAATGGCACTCAGTTCCGTACCATGGAGCACCGCCACAATGAAATACCGGGCCGCGGGATCTCCGTTCCATTTTCCTCCAGTTTTCGATTTTCCATGTATATGTGGTTTCATCTTCCGTCTCGAGATCGGGAATATCCGCAAGAAGGCTCTTCTTCATAGCCTCGTCTAGACAAAACAATTCAGTCAAGATTTCGGTAACACTAGCAGGGATTAATTACGGTCATCAGCCAACAGTATAGAGTCCTTGTCGTCAGCAGAGCCGGAATCAATCGACTGCTGCGGACTTATGATGGTGACATCCTGAGTTTTTCCGTTGTCCTGGTCCGAGCCATCAATGACCATAGCCTGATCGTCGGGTTGCTCCTGGATAACGCTCATTTGTCAGCGGCGCACAATCCCGGGCAGGGCCAATCACGCGGCGAATCAGTAAAACTTGTGCACTCACCATATCCATTATTCCAACAGAGGATGGCGAGATTAGCAAGGGAGGACTCTTCGTTTTATAATGCCCACCCTTCAGAACGAGTGGAGACGGGTGCGGAGGAGCAGGTTGAGGGTGAAGGTTATCTTGATGCGAAATCGGGATAAGGACTGGAGAAGGGGGTTCGTTAGGTCCTGCACGGATAGGCCCCAGGTGGCGGGGGAAAGAAGGGTGCATGGGAGGGAGTTGGATAACGGAGGGAAAAGGATGGGTGGAGAGGGCTTGTGTTAGGGCTCGGTGTTTGGCATGACAATAGAAATTGTGGGCAGCACAAGCAATGACGCTTGTCGGTCTTGACGCGATTGTCAGCGATGGGAGATGGGGACGTACCTGGATGCGAGATGATGGGGCTTGATGGGGGAGGTGGGAGAAAGGGGGAGAACGGTATGACGGGGTGGCGATCGAAGGAGGCTTAGAAGGCTGTTCCTGAAGAGTTGGGGTGCAAGACTGGGGGGTCTCTTCGATGCCGGGTTGGATTCTGAGGAGAGGTTCTGGGGAAGCCGCGACAGCTCGAAAGAAGGAGGTCACCGAGGCATGCGTATGCGTAAGTGTGGCTTATTGCGGGGCTCCCAGTGGGGCTTCCCATGTTATCACATCACACCCGTGACACGTGTGGCTGGAAACTTAGTAATCCCCAAGAACCATAGCATGGACACTGCCGGAGTGCCGTACGAATAGTCTACCGATACCGTACAGTATGAAAGCGTATCCTAACATACCGCATGATATATATATTATGATACAAGCATGATATTCGAGTACCATAGCATTTTTGTTCTACATCAAAATAGCTCTTCCCCCGGAACCCGTATCACATCATATCATATGATACTTGTACCCCCCTCATCCCAAACCTCTGCTGTAGCTTCAAAACGCACTCACATCCTTACCGTCCCGTTGATGCGTGCCCCGTTGGAGGGCAGAGCCACATTATTGTCTTCGAGACAGGCAAGAGAGAACACCACCCAGCCGACCAATGCCGAGAGTACTGTACTGTACTAATATGTAACTTATACCGCGTACGGCAGCACCGCACAGGGTCACAAATTATATACATCGGGTGTCTAGTCCCCGCTTTGCCCTTGGAGGAGCCGCATCGTATTGCACTTACCGCCATCCCACATACTGCGAGGGCACGATGCAATGCTAGGCTAAGCACTACCGTATATCAACTTCCCCACCAGTATGATACCTTTGTGCGGCGAGATGAGCCCGGAAACGTGATACCGTAGCCACTGGTACTCGAGTACAGTACCGTACTCTGCTGGAGACCATGTCCTCCTCCCATGAGGGGGGTTTGCCGCCGATATTGCTTGTGTATGCGAGGATTCCGCAGGTAAAGGTTCCTCCCTGTTGCCCACTTGCCCGATATTGCGGCTCAGGGGTCTGTGGGAGGTAGCCCAAATTGCCCCACCACCACCACTCGAATTAGCTTCCCGTTTGCTCGCGTGCACCCAAGCGCCTCCCGTTTACCGGTACTTGTACTTCACTCGTTAACCGCACTACCGGTACCGCATGATACCGCACGTTGGCCCCAATTCGCTCTCTTCACAAACCATATTTACGTAATCAACCAAATTTCGCTGCTTCATCGCTCGAGCCCAAAGCCGTAAAAATCGCTCAGATCCATGTGCCGTTTGTTTGGCTGTGCCAACCTATCACGACACCCGAGCGCTCTCTGTTATGTAGCAAGATTTCTCCACGGGATGCCGTTCCCGCGGCCCCGGCGGTAGGCAACCGGTATCCCCATATGATAACTACCTCTTTCTGACCGCCCTCCATTCCAGTACCCGCACTGGTGGGGCAGGTCCTTCAGATAGAGAGTCGGTGATCGCTTACAGTAATCCCCTGAATGGCCTGCCCGTAGTGACTCATATTCCTTTCCGCAAGCAGCCTTGGTAGCCACGACGTTTTACAACACCCACCGATCAACCCCCCGGAATCCTCGGTACGAGCTTTCCTCCGCTCCCTCCAGCAAACGAGGTCCATTCGGGTGTCCATCATGGTTGCTCACTCGAACTGCTGTCCACTTCTCTGCTACCGGTAGGTAATTGATGTTTTAGAGCCGAAAGAAACTAACTCAGCTACGATGTAGAACTGGGGTATGCTATGGGCTCCCCCGGCTCCTCTATCTTCTAGAGGATTAGCCTCCGATTCCTCAAAAGTGTATTGTGTTGGTGCATCCACGACCGCCAAGTCCGGAACACCACGATTATCCTTATTTGCCCCGAAATCCAAGCCTCGGATTCACAAGCGCAATACGGGTCCAGCCTCGCTCCCCCCCCCCTCTCCAACCTCCGGCTTAATTAAATAGATCTGCTAGCAGAGCTCGGTCATGTCAAATAAGGTGGGTTCGAAATACTTTATAGTACAGCAGCGCGGGGCACCCTTTCTGCACTTTTACCTCTCCCCACGCATGGTTTGGAAAGATCGTTACAGTGAACAGGTCGATAACCCGGCAATCTGCACCAATGATACAATGCAGTCGCTCCCAGAGGTAACCCAAGGGTAGGTGTGTGGCACTCTCAAGATTTCTGAAACCCCCGACCTTCACTCAACAGTACCATCTCTGGTGGTAATGAGCGTTACCCAACCCCGTGACTCAGCAGCACACCCAGCACCGCACACCCCACCGTCCCACACCCCCCCCCCCTCCATTTTCACTTTCCACAGAATTGATATTCTTCCTCCTCCCGTTCCACCTTTCCTCCCCATAACCTGCCCATTGATCAATGGCATTTGCACAAGAATGTCTACAATCCTTCAGGTCTCGTCGCGAATGCGACAGTGCGCGAACTCGCTAGAATCGTCCTCCATCCAAGCCGCGCTTATCGGCCCACATGCAAAAATACTCCGTTCCAAAATCATCCCCACCCCCACCGTAATGACCGAGACCAATTCTCGACACCTCTCCTCGATTCAACACAATCCCCGCTGGCGTGCTTCGGGAGTCCTGGACTCCTACATAGCCCAGCCAGCGCACCCCATATCCCTCCGCCAACTGGTTTTCTTCGGCGGGCGCAACCTGGACGATAAGAAGATCATAAACTCGGCAAACTACGTGCGCACCGAACTCCCCCTACGCATAGCCCATCGCATCCGTGATATGCAGAAGTTGCCGTACGTTGTCGTCACGAACAGGCATTTGTCGGCGGTGTACGAGCTGTACTATAAAGCTTTCGAGTCCTTCCGTAAGATTCCCGAGATCAAGAGTCTTGAGGATAACGAGAAGTTCTGCGAGATTGTCAAGACAGCGCTGCAGGAGCATCTCACCGTCATACCGAGCCTTGCTATGGGCGTGCTGGAGTGTAATGATTTGGTGCCATCGCATGAGTTGGACAGGTTTATGAATGTTATTCTCAGGAGTGTATGTGAGAGTGATATCTTTCACCGTTCTATATATCCTGGGTGACTCGTTTGGCTAAGCCTCCACATCCAGAGAATTTCAAGAAGAGTCATAGCCGAACAACACCTGGCGTTGACGGACACCTTCAACTCCCCCTTCCACTTCCCCGACTCCGTGAGCCACCAGCCACACGAATTTGTCGGCGAGGTCTTCCTCCGCTGCAACGCGCGCGAAGTCGTTGAGCAGGTCGGCAAGCACACGCTAGAACTTGCACGGGAAGCCAATGGCTCCACCTCGCCCATCCCCGAGATCCAAATCGAGGGCCGCCTGGACACGACATTCCCATACATTCCCTCCCACCTGGAATACATAATCGGCGAGCTCCTGCGCAACTCCATCCAAGCCACCATAGACCACCACACTCCGCTTTCCACTTCCTCCCTCCCGCCCATCAAAGTCCTGATCTGCCATACAAAGGAACACATAATCTTCCGCGTCTCCGACCAAGGCGGCGGCATACCCGTAACCGAACTAGCTCACCTGTGGTCCTTTGCCAAGGCCCCCCGTGCAGCCAATTACCTCCAGAACTTCTCCCACGTACCGAAGATGGCCGCCACGCTGCAGGAACTGCAGAAAACGGCGCACACGCATTCCCGCAGGGAGAGTATGGACACTTCCCTCTCCAGATTGACTTCCCGGCCGCCGAACCTAAGGCTGGGAATGGGCCTACCGATGAGCAGGGTGTACGCTGAGTACTGGGCCGGCAGTCTTGAATTGCACAGCCTCGACGGCTACGGCACAGACGTGTTCTTGCAGGTGTCCAAGTTGGGGAATAAATGTGAGCAACTGAACCTAGATGGGGTGTAGCAGTTCAATATATTGGGTAGATAGGTGGGCACACACACACACATATATATATATATATACTCCTTGTAAGGAGGATATGTGTGTACCCACCTACTTACCAACTGAGAAGGTACCCCACGATAAGGAGTAAAAAGGAGAAAAGACGGTATCTACTAGAATGGAAAAAAAAAGGAAAAAACAAGACAAAAGATAAAGAACTAGTGGAGCCATGTATTATACTACTTCATTTGGTTAACCATTCATCTCTCGCAGGCGTATTATTCGCGGATGGAGTTCCGAGCTGACTGAGATACGATACGGTAACTTGCCAGAATGGGGAGGGGCAAAAGAGAAAAATAAAGTCATGGAATGTAAATTCTTCTTCTCTTTCTCATATTCTTCCTTTCCATTCCATCCGTTTCTTGTTGTGTTTGCTCCGTTCCTTTCGCTTTCTCGCGTCGTCTATGTGATTGATCCTTGCCTTTAACGTGCTGAATAGGCTTGATTCGCCTTTTCGTCCTTCGCCCGTTCGTTCTCTTCCTTCGCTTCTTCCTTCGGCCGTCCGTCATACGAGTGGCTACGCATCTCGAACATTGCAGCGTTTCTGGAAGCTGGGAGGAGGAGGAAGAAGAAGGGGAGAGAGCGGATGGGGGGGGGGGGAACGTGTTTGTTGGATAAATTGAGTTACCGCCGTAATGCTGCTACCCAAGGCAGGTATCTCATTTACTTCACGATTCTTTGTTGTTCGGCATCTCTGAGATGGTCCTGTTTTTCGTTATAGAAGCATTTCTTTCTGCATGCATAGATGATCCCTTGTAAAGATATCCACTAATGATGCCCGCCACCCCTCTTTCCTCCATCCTCACCATCGTTTCTCTCCCCTCTTAGATGGCGGATGTCCGATATGTTCTCTCCAATGTCAATTACTCTTGAAATCCCTGTTGAACCGAATACTACCCAGTGTTGTGACCGTATTGGATAAAGGAAAAAAAAGATGCAACCCCGCCGTTTGCACACTTCACAACCCACCAGGGTATATATCTTCATAATGGAATGGGCTCGTGCAATCTTTTGATATCACAACTCCATTGACTGAAAAAATATCTGTTGCAATACAAATAATATCATCCACAGAAAAAAGAAAAATATGCACGTCCCGTTCACACATAACCTGCTATATGCTTTAGCGGAATGAGAGTGGCGAAAGGGGCATGCAGAACCGAACACGAGGATTCTTGGGTTGATTAGGGTTTGTAGGGGAAGGGAGAGGAGGAGGAGGAGGGGGGGTTATCTCACCTTTGCGCGCGCCTTGGAAAAAGAATCTAACAATGAAGACTTGGAGACATGACATCGTAACCATCATAAGGGACTCGATGACTGAGAAGTTGAAGATTCGGGATTCGGTTGAGCGGACAGTGCTGAAATTGCGGTTCTCCCGGGTGCGGAAGTACTTTTGGTTACGGGAAATGGTAGAGAGTTGACCGGAGAGCTTGAAAAGCGACTCCTCGAGGGATGAGAGATGCTCGGGGGAGGTACCTTGCTTAGAGGGGAGTTCGGCCCGAGCTTCGTTCTCAACCTGTATTACCTGCTGAGTAGAGCTCCGGCAAATTGGGGAACAGTGCTCATACAGCAATCTCGAAATCTACCATCTTCTCGGCAAACGTAGACATATCGTTGGAAAAGCAGAAGCTGTATTCCCCAGGGTCGTTCGCAGTAAAGACAAAATCACCTTGCCTCTCCTTAGATCCATCGAGAATAATCTTATCGTTCGGACCAGCCACTTTATAATCGACATCGAAGGAACCACCTGATTGAACCTATTCGGAATGGTTGAGACCGAGTAAAGACGCTGGAGAGTCGGGGGAGAGAAAAACTTACAGCAAAGTAAAAGGCCACCTTAGACCCCTTCTTGTCAGCGGTTGAATAGAAGCATTGTCTTTCGTTAGGAGCGAGCTTGTACGTAAGGGCTGTGGCAGCAACAGGCGAGGTAAATAAGGAGAGGGATGCCAAAACAGTGGCCACGAGTATTGTGGGCAATCGCATGGTGAAGGATTGTCTGTGTGAGTAGCGGTACGTTCGAGGAAGAGGTGAGGTTTGTCGCACTGGAAAGGAGTTAGGAGATGCCAGTGCTCAGTGGCCCGTATGGACTGTGCACCGTCTCGGCGTATAATACTGAACATGCCAAGTATGCGGTTTTTACCCCTAACCCAGTAGTTCAAGGGCTGTGGCTGCGCTGGTTAGCTGCATCGAGCTACAGAACAGAAGCCTCATAAAACCTATAGAATGATACAAGGCAAAAGGACTGATTAGAATTTGTTTGATTATTATATCCAGGAAAAAGGGGGGGGGGATTTGTTTGTCATATGGGCAAAGTATTCTATTTGGTGTGGCGAATGCGAACATATTGCAAAAATGGAGCATCATTTGTATGGTTTGGTGGCCGAGTGGTCTAAGGCGCTACGTTTAGGTCAACTTGATCGAAATCCGTAGTTCGAAAGAGCGCGCGTTCGAATCGCGCCCAAATCATCTCTTTTGCAGGTTTCTTTTTTATCTATTGGTGAAAATGAGGCAAGGTATGACTCCTGTGATAGCATCACTTTCGGCTAAGGCATTCGGATCAGCGTTCTTTGTAACTTCCCTTTGCGTAGCACGCTGGCGCCCTCGCCAACTTAGACTACAGTCTAGTCACTACGACATTTCAACTTCGCTGTTGGCACTTTTGCAGGCGCCATTCCCAGAGTCTCTAAACCCGTGGTCGTGACGCCCGAGCATCACCAATCTCTTCTCGAGAGTAGTGCAACAGTGCATTATGGTTTATATGGCCGTGGGGGGCTACAGTACCAGCATATCGGTCCAGTGTGGGAGATGGATTCGGGGCAATTGGGCTTCCGCATTGGTGTATTCTACTCTAGTTCCCGGTAATAAGTTATAATAAGCGTCGTTAGGTGTAACATTGTTTTTTTTTTGTAACAGATTGGGTCTTGTAAGGACCAAATGAGATTTCGTGATGAAACCTATAAATAAATAACACATAGCCAGAAAGACTGCTTTGGAGGTGAGTCGAAGGAGCGAGAAGCAAAGGGGATGAATGATACGTCATTGAAGTTTTTTTTCTTTCTTTGTTTGCGAGGATGTTTGTTTGCTAGCTTGCACGTCCCGGAAGCTATGCTGCACAAGGGAGCCATTCGATCTCTCTAGGGGAGGGAGAGAAAGAGAGAGGGCGGGATTTGAGAAGTGATTTTTGTTCCGGAGAAGGGTTTTTCAGGCGGCTTCTCTGCGGATTTAACACTTCACCCGAGCAGGAGGATTTGAAATTGGTATAGTTTGTAGTTTGGCTATCGAAGTAGGGGAGAGACTTGGCTGTTGTGCGCACCTGTCTACGGTACAAGTATCATGCTTGTTCCGGTGGCGTGCGGATGCAAAGACCTACCAGGCTATTAATTCTTTTTCGGTACTCATACTGCGGTCTCATGGCACGAATTGTTCAGTGGATAATTATTTGCTTTCATTGATTCCCCAGTTTTTGGAGGTATTTCTGGTGATGTCTGAAGTATACAGCGTCTTGTTGTGATTTGCCATCCTTTTTGTTACATGCTGTGCGGTTTGGGGAATATATATATGTGACGTCACCGATTATCACTCGGTGGTTCCTGTCAATCGACCTCGTTTGCTAATAACTGGACGGAGCACAGGACAAACCAAATTCCGAGTTTCAGCGGAACAGTTCCTCCGCGGATATCTTGAGAGTCAGTCCTGGAATTTTTAATTTTTTTTCTAAGCTTTTTCTAGTGTTTCACCATTCCCCGTGGACGATATGCGTAAAACCTTTGGGCTTGTGTTTTTTCTTCTTCCCCTTTTCTTGGAGACCAGCCCGGGTTTAGAAAGGGTTGGTGCCCGGGCCCCGTACTTTTGCGGATGGCTCATCTGAGAGTATTACCGTGGTCGATGATTCTGTGCATGAGCAGTGCTGCTGGGCCGGGCCCCTTCGGAAGCTCGAGGGCACTCAAAGGCGGAGACCATTCTGGGAAATTTCCTTGGCTAAGTTTTTTCTCCCACTTTCCTTCCGTTCGGCTCGCTGGGGATTCTGGGGTGGGGCAGTGCAGGAGGGCGAAGGAGGGAAGGAGGAAATCTCTTTGGAATGAGCCGATTCGGTCCATCTGATCACGGTCTAGATAAATTCGGTAGTGCAATATAAGAGAATGAGATTGGAACTGCTTGAATGTGAAAGCGATGAACAATGTTAATATTTGATTTGTAAATAATCTAAACGTTCGAGTTGATACATGTAACCTCCATACTATCTAACCAGAGACATAGAGAGTGAACTCAGTGAGGAAGTATTTAAAGGCTTCCCCAAAGGAGATCAATGAAACAACTAGTAATAATGATGGCCATCATTGAAAACATGGATGTTATCCCCTGGATAGAAAGTAACAATATTGGGATGGCTTTCATAGTTTCTGGTCCTCCTTGTTAGATAGATAGCTTTACTTACTCCTTGAATGATTTTCTGAACCAAAAATCAGGAAGTTACTTACCCACTTTGGCATAGTAGGTGATTGATACTGAGATTCGGCATCTGTATTCCTGTCTGATTTGAACAAAAATTTGTCAGTTTGAGTGAGAATTTGCTGGGTGCTGGACATAATTCTCTTGCATGCCTCCTCCTATTTTTAGAATAGAGACTTCTCCATATATATACCAATACCACCAGAAGAAGATATTAATAATATTAAATGTATATTTTGTTGCCTAGTTGTAGCTTTCTAGGCTTGTTAGTAAATTGATAATTCTGCATTGTAGACTCTTTGTTTCAGAGTTACTTATATAAAATCTGAAATTCCTGATCTTAAGTATTTAAGCTTAGATCTTTAGTAAATCCAAACTGTGACAGTATTATATGTTGAAAATGGCAAGATGCTACTCACCATTCTCTCATCTCTCTTTTGCCCTTCTTATTCTCCTCTTTCCTTCTAGGAGGTTTGCTTATTCATATGTTGATTGATTGTTTGATTTTTAGAGAAGCACTTTAGTAGCACAGTGGGAGAGTACAGTGGAAGAGTACCACTGAAGAGCATAGCAGAAGAGTATGGTGGAAGAGCACAGAAGGAGAGCATGGTAGAAGAGTGCAGTGGAAGAGAGTATAGCAGAAAAGTGTATGGTAGAAGAGTGCAAGTTTGTTTTCTCTTTTGTTAGCTTGTTTGTTTTTTCTAGTAAGATAAAAGACTTACCTATAGGGGAGGGGCTGGAGAACTTAGTTTGCAGTTTGTTATTTTGAGCTGTATTGTAGTTGTAATTTATACTTCTGTCTTTTCTGTCAGTAGATGTTAGTTAGTAGTATGATAGTTAGGGAGAGAGTGTGTGAGAGTATATAAGAGAGGAAAGGTGAAAAGTTTTTTCCTACTGTGAGTTATGTGATCCTTTCATATAAGTGAGCTTGGTATTTTGTTTTACAGCCTATCACTCACTTAGGTATAATTGACCTATTGCCATGCATCCCTGCTCATTTACCATTTATTCAAATTATAGTGAATAGTATTCCCAAGTACCTTTAATGGCTAGGGGAGAATGGTTGATAGAGACTAGAATGTAGTCTCTCTTGTATATTTTCCCTGGCCCAACAGCAATTAGTAAAGCTCTCATGGAGCATCAGTACTTAAAGTAGCATAATACTCATAGTATCAGCTGTGTTGCTAATTACTTCCTCAGAAGCCTTTAATATTAATTGATTTTAATAAGATAGTGATATCGTGTTGGTATATTGGATTTCCGATTGTGGTGCATAGCCAGTGATCTGTCAGGTTGTTTTGGTGTCCATCTGTCCAGGATAGAGCCGGTCCCTCTAATACTAGCAAAGTTAGTCATATCTTCTGGGGAAGGATAAAGAGTGAAGCACAAACATATATTGTTCAATAACCCTGAATTCAGCCCCCAGATCTTGAATAGCAGGAGTTTGATATCAGTGGAATATCCCGGAAAGGGAACAATAAAGACGTCAAGAGTTTGTACCTGTATGTGTTGTTATTGAGAGAGACGCTTGTTGAAAAGGAGAAGGGAGGTGGGAGGTACCCCCTTTACATAGACAGGACGACGCAAAGGGTCGGTAAATCTTATAGAAAGGAAATAGGGTTCAAGGTCAGGAAAGTAGTTGAATGCTCAAGGCTAAAAACAACCTTGTCATTTGTCTCGCACTTGGCGTTAGACCGGTGAAGAAATCATCTGGTATCACTCGCTGGTGACCGGGGGGAGTGTGAAAACTGAAGTTGACTTTTAAATAAAGTCGTATTCAATCTTATATTCAGTTAATCGAATAATAACAACAAAACAAAGACTATATATACAAACATCCAAGTTCAGCGCAGCCATCGCTCCATACCAGCCTTCATTCCCAAGCCACTGATTCCCAATCAGAGAATGCAAGCCCACAGCTTTTAAGTTCATTCCTGACCCAGGAATGAAATCTACCAGTCACTCAGTATGCATAGTGCATTCCAGACAACAGAGTGCGGTTCCGTTGTGGAATCCACCCAAGTATGGCATACAATATCGAGAGCTACCATAAATGTGGGACAGGGAGGTGGAAGCAATCCAGGAGTATTTGTCGGCTCCGTTTTCGCTCCACTTTTTCCCTTCCCTAGAGGGGCGTGTGATGCTAAGTGAGCTAAATTGCAATTTTAGTCCCAAGGAATTGTGCAAAAGGCAATGATAGATCGGAGCCAGGATGAACTACCGGTGCTATTTTGCGATCCTAGAGTAGGCTGGGTAAGATTAAGAGCTGGGACCAAGTTGCAGATTGAATCGACCGGCGGCCCAATGTTTCATTTGCCCACAGCTCAGGAGGCAAGCTCAGAAATAGGGAATCCAGGAGGGCGCTGCACTGAACGGGGCACATACGATGTCGGTACCCTCTAGTTCTGCGTATTTAATAGAATTGTTGAATAGCATAACGTAGGAAAGTCACCTCGTACTATCCAAAATACATAGACCCCATTGAACAGCAAGATCTAGATTATCGTAGTCTACTGAAAGAGCAATTGTGCTCCATTGCGATAGCACCTGCGCTGAGTCACCGGTGGGCCATGGCACGGTCCGGCTTGGGCTGTGGTTCCGTGGTAGTGGGGGAACCGCGGGGTTCAGATACAAATTTCATTTCTAGATGCCCAGAGGAACCCCGCTGTTTTTACCAGTGATTGACATTCTGATTCGGGCGAAGCGCCTAGTGGAAGAGTGAGAATCTTCGTGATATCATACCCTTGGCAACCCCATTACCAGCGCAGCAGTAGAGCTCACCCAAACTGCAATTCAGCTTCCCGACGCTTGGAACCCTCATCAAAACGCCAATTACGACGAGGTTTTCAGGAAAATGAGCATCAAAGTAGGATATGTTCCGGGTTGGTTACCGCTTAACTTATTCCCCCCCAAATATTCTAGCCATAAAATACTACTAACAATCAAACAACTCACAGAGCATTTCTCCACCCCTCTCCACTTTGCCGAAGCCCACGGCTTTTTCACTTCCCGTTCCCTCTCAATCACCCTGATCCCCTTCCCATCGGGCACGGGGCACATGGTCAAGTCCCTCTCTTCGGGGGAAATCTCCATCGCAATTGGCCTAACCGAAGGTTGGATCTCGGCAATCGCGAATGGCAACAGCAACTTCAAGATAGCGGGCAAGTACGTTGCCACACCGCTGTGTTGGGCGATTTCTACGGGGACGCAACAAGGGGTTGACCATGTGGAGAAGCTAGCCGGTGGAAAGTTGGGGGTTTCGAGGATTGGGAGCGGAAGTTATGTTATGGGGTTTGTGCTGGCGCAGGCCAATGGGTGGTTGAAGGAGGGGAAAGAGCCGTTTGAGTTTGTGGTCCTGGATGATTTCAAGGGGTTGAGGGATGGGGTTAACTGTTTGTCTTCTTTTTCCCCCATTAATACCTTTTGGGGGGAGTGGGTGAAGAGGAAGCATAAGCTTACGTTCGTGGGAAATATCTGCAGCTGGAAAGGCGGATGGGTTCATGTGGGAGTACTACACTTCAAAGTAACCGCCCCGTGGCACCCTCCCTACCTCAATCTATGTCTTCCAGTGATTGACGTTCATAGGAGATACTACGATTCCAACGAGATCAAAAATGTCGGTGAAATCTACACCCCCTGGCCATCCTGGCATATCGTTTCCTCGAATAACCTACCACCCGCCGCTGTCGGTCCATTCCTGGAAGCGGTGAACGAAGGAATCGCCTATTTCAACACCCACAAAGATGAGGCAGTTGGGTACATATCAACACACCTAGACTATTCTAAAGAAGACGCCCAGGAATGGTTGGGTACCGTGGAGTTTGCAAGTGATGTGCGAAAGGTTGACGAGAAGGATATCAATGAGACTCTCAAAGTGCTCAGAGAGGCGGGAGTGGTGAGGGATAGTAAAGTTAGTTATCAGGATGTGGTTCTGAACCTTTGATAGCTTACCGTATGCTTGCCGGGGGGGGGGGGAGGTAAATTGAGAGTGTAGGCTCTCACTCGTGGCAAACACTCGATAACTTATTACCTTGTTTTTAAAAGTTTAGTGCGGTCTCATAAATAAATAAATAAACCCCAGTGCTTTGCATGGACCATTCCAGTTTGCCACGAATTTCCGTCGTTTAGACCTCACTCACGTCAGCAGGAACATCAGGGGTGGCCTGTCTTCTCTAACAATAGTAATCATCACCCCCAGCGGATTGGATCCCGGAAAATCCGACGATATGACACCTCCCCGGCCTTGACCCCTCACCGCCATCCCTCTCTCCCATTCCGCCTTCATCCCATCCAGTCACTCACCACCTCAACAAAATAAACCGATACCCGTAGCCCAACCACCGTGCAGCACCCCAACTTACCCACCCCACCCCCACCATCCATCCATCCCGTCCAACCAGCTCGTCGACGAAATGAACTTCAGTCATCCGATGCGGTAACAATACGGATGGCAAGAAGAAGAAAAAAAGAAGTCGTTTCACAACCCATTTTCCCGCCCGATCCACGAATTCGGGGGGGCGTCCGTACCAAATGCGCTCTGATACGCCCAAGCTCTTGGGGCCGTTGCATATACTACTGCGCTGTGCCTTATGGCAATCGGCAGAGCGAAGCGTCAATGATAGGCCCTATGTCGCGCTAGCATAGTACTGTACCAGATGGGTCGCTGGTTGTGATCGGTGGGGCTCCTCCCCGGTGTTACGGTGGCCAGAATCATATCATAGCTAGCTAGCCAGATATATTGCCGGGGGAGGGGGGGGGTAGTGGCAGGACAGCGGGCCTATGATACCTCAGGAATCGGGAATTATGAACAGCGAGTGACATTCTGTGAAGCTCATTCTAGCGAGGTTTCTGTTGCGGAGTTCCCCGACGAATTAAGGCGCCCGTCGCGGCACCGCACCGCACTGCACAGTGCACGGTAGAATATCGGACAACCGGGATCGGGGGAAAGGAAAAAAAAAAGAGAGCCTCGCTAGGTAATGACGTTACAAGTACCATAGCTCGACATCTCCAATTGGAAAAAAAAAAGTTCTTGGAGAACTCGGCGGTGGGTGGGTTATGATCGGAGGAGCTAATACTGTACTGTAAGTATAATACGTTAGGCACCTGACGTCGTGGGAGGGGGTGCTGATGGAGCGGGAGCTCGGAAATGGATCACGTTCCGCTAATTAGATGTGGGGACTTGTACAAATGCAGTATCATAGCAAAAGCCCATACCGGTATTTTCTCAACCTGTGGTCGTAGTCACGGATACTCACTCGGCCTGACGGGGCTGCGGGCCCGACTCCAGCCAGATGTGATACCGGTAGCTGGATAGAACACGAGCTCGCGAGCAAAAACAGGGCGGGCGGGCGGGCGGCAAATTATCATACCCGGGGCACGTATCATGACGGAAACACCCCGGTCAGCCCGATACCGTACAGTACGCGATTTGAGCAACTTGCTAACTTACCGCACTCTACGAGCTCTGCAGATAAATTACCATTCATTCCTTCACACGTTGGATATCGAAGCCGGTGGGGCTCGATTGTGTTCCCTGCCATCACCACTCGAGTGCGCAGGCGCGCAATATTCGTGTGTGATGCTGTAACTTGCACTGTACTTGTGCTAGCACTCCTCATCGCTACCGTAATTGGTGTGATTTGACGCTGCATTTGCGTGTGTTGCCGTGCGGCGTAGCACGGGGATGGATGCATGGAACTCATGATTCCGGGGGATGCGGGCGTTCATTTCGTTTCATGGGTTTAGGAATGGGTGTCTTGTGGAATGAAAAGGAAAAGGGGGGGGGAAAAAAAAAAAGGGAAGATGGTTGCCCATATCTAGAGTCGGTGGGTAGACTAATATTTCGTTTAAATTACTCGTGTGATACATGTTCCGGGGATAGAGACTCGCCATGTAGGTTGGATTATGCTCTATTGTTTCTTGCCCACATTTGGCTGAGCGAAGTGGTTAACCGTCATGGAAATGATCTGTTCCGTCCGCCGGTGCGCGAAACCTCCGACGGTTGGCAGGAACGAATTCGGGATTGTGGACATTGGCAAAAAGGCTCCGGATGTGAGCCTAGTGCGGCTTGGGACCAACTGGATTGCTAGGATTTGGCTCTGGGCGCGAAATCGCAAAAGTCTCTGTTATGATACGAACAATAACTCCTATTGTGAGAGGGGGGAATCCCGAAAAATGACACCCTTCAACGAGCTCTAAGTACCTCCGATTCTCCTCCCCCCCCCTCTCTCTTCATTCTTACCCTTCATTAATTTGTTTATTTTACATCCCACCCGTGTGCCGCCACCCGTATATGTCTTGCTGGCGGCTTTGCAGGGCGATCGAGTACTATAGAGACCAATCATTCATCACAAACACAAGAACTTCAAGACCGCAAAGGTATATCATGATCCAGTAACAAAGTATCCACAAAGAATTCCAAAGTAAAAATAAAAAGTAAACCCAAATACGCCGTGCCCCGAAACCATTTCAGCCATTCCTTATTTCGTGTACTTGCCCGCATCCGAGCCAAACCCTCTATCTAGCCTTCTGAGTACCTCCCGGACGCTAGAAACCTCGATCTGAGGGCAACTTCCGTCCAGACTCCGTACCATCAGAGGACGGACAAGGCTCCCCAAGTCCGTCGTTGCGTCTTCGAATGCGCGGTGGCGGGAGAGTGTCTGGTATGCTGCGCTGCAGGGAATGAACGTTCCCTTCTCTGAGGCGCCTTCATCGGATTTTCCCTTCTCCTTGCTATCGCCAACACCAGGCTTTGAGCCTCCAATATCACCGCCACCACATAAACTTCCCCTACAGCACCCCGATTTTTCAGCGCCATCCATCTTCGTAGCCACCGATTGGCAGAACAGGGTTGACAATGGGTCGTTCTGACATTGCGCGCAGCCCCCGGGTTGGCAACCGCTCGGCCGAGACGTGAGTTTCACAGCACTAGTATTCATCGGGGGATATAACGCTTCAGGCCTCTCAAGTCCCTGCTGAGTATGACTCGTTAAAACAGAGCTATGTCCATCTCTTAAAGGGGGCAACTTGGTGCTGTGATCCTCCTCAGAGTCATCGCCCGCAATCAGGGAGTTCGCAACCTCGGCACAGACACACGGCGTCCCGTCCGAACAAAACCCGCAAGGGTCCGGCATCTGAGTGATTGGGGGATTGGGTGCTGATCTGGTCATGTATGCATTTGTAAAGTCAATCTCGAGCTCATCAGAAATATGCCCAGCATAATCTCCTGTGCGAGTGCGTTTCGGTGTGTTCTGGCTGGGGGACGTGGGCCTTTTTGTTGAAAGCGCTGCAGCAGGTTCAGTCATACAAGCGCATGGCCCTTCCTCTGGGCACCGACTGCAGCCTGTAGGATCTGAAACCCGGCTACTTTCTGGGGGAGGTTGTGGTTTGTTTCGCCCACTCCTACGGCGAAGTGGGACGGACGGGGCGCTTAAAGTGACAACGGGATTCTTGATACACAGGACTTGATCCAATTCATCTGTGCAAGTACAATCCCCCCCACAGGGGGTGCCACGGCCAGAGGATGGGGCTGGCGATGCGACTTGGGTGACAAAATTCGCAGCCGACGATGCTTGATCCTCGGATTTTAACTGTCGGATTAAATCGAGTTCTTTCTGGAGACTTTCCATCCTTATCTTATGTTCCGAAAGTTCTTTCGTCAAACGCACATTATCCTCCGTTAGCTGCTGAATTTGATCCCTGGAAATTCGATCGCGGTCCTCATGATCGGCCTGCAATTCTTTGAGCTTGTCCTCCAGTTCATTGACTCTAGCAGCCTTGCGCTCCCTGAACGCTCGTTGGGCCGCCCGGTTTTGAGCCTTTCGCTTCTGCGTGACGTGAGCTATGCGCTGCTACCGCACAATATCGCCAGAGCTTACCGTTGGCGGGGTCTCAGTGGAAGCCTTCCTGCCGGGCTAATGCACTGAATCAATACCTAATCCAATTGCCTTATCATTATCCCTTGGAATGGCTAACCTTCGGGCGCGGTGGAACAACCCATTCTTTGCGCGTAACAATAGTGCTTGGGGCGGCAGCACCGTCACTACCAACCGAGGCAGCTCTAGGAGCAAGAATCGGTGGCCCGGGACTACTCGCAGAGAATGGCGAGGAAATTGCTTGGAAAATGGTCAGTTGGATTGAAATACCGAGTGATAATCTGCCAAGCACAACACTGAGGTACTCACAAATGGGGGACATTGAACCACCCGACATTTTGTTACGACAGTTTGTTTCAGCGGTGTCCACAGTGGATGAGTGGGATAGCAGGGCCAAAAAAGCAATATCCTGGGACAAGGCTGTTTATCGAGAGAAGTGATATAGGTACCGGTGGCATCCCCAGGAAAGGATGTGGAAAGAAGATAATTGAAGTGGGGGGGGGATCCTGGGGTTTATGAAAGATTCAAAGGGTTCGGTAGAAGGGGGTTCTCGGGCACAGGACTGGGAAGGAGATGGAGGGGGGGTGGGAAGGAGGGAAGAGGGTGCAGTCAAGAGGACTTACCGGTGCTCTGCCTGTTTGCTGAATTCGTGTTTAGTTAGACTCACACTCGGGGGACAGAAGAGAAGAGCGGACAACGGGGGATCTCCGCTTCCTAATCTGATCCGGATCGATTAGACTTAACAGATGGTCTGATAAAAATTTTCATCAATACCGCTAAACCATTTTGGCACAAGCCATCTCTGGGCGGTCACACAATTGGGTAGGAGATTGCGGTAACCCGCACCCTATTCGCTCTAGCGCTGCACATTGGGTGTGAGGAAATTCATTTATGATTCGTCATTCATTCAACTTTGTCCCGGCTCCGGTATCTCCGGTATGTTATATACTGTGCGGTGCTGTACTATACCGCACCGCATTCAGGTTGGGTACCGTACGGCATGATACGGTACTCGAGCCCGCTGCAAGCACAGTACGGTATGGATGCACCAGCGCTACTTGTGGATGCGCGACAACAACCCTTATCTAATCCTGCACGCAATGTGCCTTGATGGTACAGTACACCTATTCCTCACTCGCAGCCTCCCCCAATTCATCCTCGCTATCGTTCTCCAGATCTTCACGTGTGCCCGCATCCAACGAGCCATACCACTTTCCAATCCCTTCCACATATTTCTCTTCCTCCGGACCGTATTCGACTGGAGGGCCTGACACCACGGCTGCCCTCTCTTTCCCCAGATTTTTCCAAACGGCCCATGCAGAATTAGATGTAGATGTAGCCACAAGGCTACGTTTTACGGAGGATATCTGGAACAATAGTAGTTAGTAACCCAAGGCTAGAAAACCAAAAAAAAAAAAAAAAAAAAGTGAGGCGAGCCCAGCATCCCGTACTTTGAATTCCCGGAGGAGCACCACATCCCCCACTTCCACAATTGGCAAGGCCTCCTTATAAGGCCTCAGAGCCGTAGCTACTATTCCATAGGGAGTCGACGAATCGACCAATCTCATAGAGATGTAAAAATCCTTTTGCCCTCCTTTGGCTCGTTGGATAGGTTTTCTTCGCGCCACCACCCCGATGATATCAACAAGCGCACCCCAAGTTAGAGAACACAAGGCCGGGAAATCAGATAGCTACAACGCCAGAGGTTAGCGAAAACACTACACAGACTAACCCTACGTGTGCGGCCTACATTTGTAGTAACTCCTGACTCGAACTCTGACGTAGAGTCTGATTGTTGACCGCTCTGATCTGATCCCGCGATGGTTTCTGAGTTGGAGTCATTCATCGATCTATCCCCTGAAGTTTGGTATTCAGTGCTATTGTCGTGCTTTTCGGAAGAGGGAGATTCAGGATCTGCCCCTATATTCTCACACTCCGCCGGACGACCAAAGTAAGCCGAAAGGTCGCTGGGAAATGATTCTCTCTCCGAGCCCCACAGAAGCGGCCTCCTCACTTCAGTTGGGGACCCAAATTCAAAGTTGTCGTTCATTCCTGGGTAACCCGAATTGATTTTTGGAGGGGCACTGGTAGGGAAATTCAGGGAGCGCTTCTCGACCTTTGGCGATGGCGTGGGCAGATAAAGGAAAGGCGTTTTTGGTTTCCCTGAGCGTGGTGTTGCGAAATTTTCACCCATCCTCGAAATCTCTATACTGAGCTTAGAGGGCTGAGAGGTGGCCGCGAACTTTGCGTTCATCTTTCGTCTCTGCACCAGACGGTGAGTAGTCTCACCATCAGAAGGCTCATCGAAGAGCGAATCTTTCTCACTGTCAATATCGCTTAGTTGTCTCTCATCATCGGATAGCGAGGCCCTCCGCTGGTCCGAGACGGACAGGTAGTTGGTGGCCTCAGGCGTGCTTGGTTTGGGTAGCACCTCCCTCCCCGCCACCGTTGAGATAGCTTGATCAGGAGTGGGGGCCGTGCCGGTGATATCAGAGCCTATGAGAACAGGGTCTCCTTCAAGCTCGGTATCGGGAGTCTGAACATCATTTAGACTCATGTAATCAGCTCCAGATAATCCACGATTCATAAATGGGGAGATTAGTGGAAGGTTGGCAGACAGAACAGGGCGTAATGATGGTGAATCTGGCATATCTTCCGTATCCATTCTAGTATCCAGAGGAGGCAGAGGTGGTGGGGGCATGGGAATTCTCATTCGCCGATCTGGTGTCTTGCTAGGACCCGCAGCTTCTGTTAGATCAACTGACATCTCCTCTGAGATATCAATCCGCACAGAGCTCACATTACCCCCCTCCATTTGGCCCTCATGTTCCGGTCCACCGGCCCCTACTCTAGGCGCTTGTTTCCCCTTACCCTTAGGGTTTCCTAGCGAGATTTCCTCATCTAATCCCCCCGGCTCTCCTTCCGTGACCTCCTTCTGTTCCAACAGCCGGAACGAGCTGCTAAACCTCGGCCGCTTGCGTCTGTGCTCCAAGTCGTAGTCATCGTCATCCCCAAAGAGTGGCTCTGTTGGAAGTGAGGATGACGGCGATGGCTCGTTGGAGAGCCATGTTATGGAGCGCTTGAAAAGGCCGGGAGTGCTCCATTCATTTTCGTCCTTTGAGAACGAGAAGGACTGGGTTGAAGGCGGTGTCGAAGGGGGAAGAGCCGGCCTCTCCTCTATTGTGGCCGGAAGGGCCTGGCTTGCGACTATGGGAGGTGCCTCCAAATCCGGCGCGATGTCAATTGTGGACCAGCCGGATGTCGTCTTTACCTGCAGAGCATTTCGTTAAGTACGGTAGAAACTTGGATGGGTTGCAAGAGCAAGGTTGAGTTACCTTCATAGCCAATCTAGTCGAGTACACCACGACCCATGGGACATCCCTTTCAGTGGCATCGTCTAGCGGTTGAAACTGGGCCCCTTCCAACGAGATGACAACGCGGTCCCCAATCTGAAGCTCCGTCCGGTCCACAGCCGACGCCGCGAGACCCTTAAAATTGATCCGAACCTGCCCTCGGTTCTTACGCAAGCGAAAATCCTTCTCGGATGCTAAAATGGATAAAGACGAGCTGCTGGGCGAAAAGGGCCAGAGGAGACTAATTATCGCGACAAGGAATTCGGGCTCGTTGTCAGAGGTGCCCGGAGCGAGGGATGCCAGGGGAACACGTTTTGAGGGCCACGAGGAATCGGTTTCGGACATTGTTGGCAGTAGCGTTGGTGGTGAATGTGTGAACTCCTTTTTTAACTTTTTTTTTTTTTTTTTTTTTTTTTTTCTCTTTTGAAAAAAAATAAGTAAATAAATAAAATAAATAAAATGAGATGAATATTTATAACTTCCGGACCGAATTAGATTGCGGGTATCAGAGACGGGGGGAAATCTCCCCACTGGAAAAATCGAGTTCGAGATGCAGTGAATTTGGAGGTTCGTTGGTGTTTGGGTATGCGGCTGAAATGCGAGGAGATCGAAAGGGTTCGTTGGTCCGTTGGGAACGGGAGTTTGGCTTATTAGAGTGAGCAAGAAAACGATCACCAGATTCCTATTTCTGAGGGGTGATTGGCGATGGGTTTATATACCAAAAATTCCCGGGGTATAGTGATTACTCGTACAATTTGGTGTTGTATTCCACAGTATTAATGCTTGCAAACCGCGAGCAACAGTATCACAGGGCACAGAGATGGTGGGAAGTTACTTACTGAACGAGTACGATGGCACATACAGTACTGGTACCGGTAGGATGCTATCATACATCACAGCATGGACCGATGAATCTGGGGGGAGCGGCCGACACACGCTTTAACCGCCCGTAAACTGACTGCTGGGTCCTGGTTACACTCGGATTTGCCGGACCGCGCTCGAAAGTACTCGAGTAACTCTATGGCGCTACGATACCGGTATACGGATGAACGTCTCGCACCCCAGCTCCAACACCTTCTCCACCCCGCTCCCACGATACCCCATCGCATCGACGCCGTGCTCGAGGGTAAGCTACCATAATGTCTGGAACCAGCAGCTTCTAAGACTCGCCCCGGGAGGACTGCTTGACCACTAAAAGTGCCGGTACGAGCATACCGTACACTCCCGACCAATGCTGTCTCTGGTTGACAGGATCGCTGGGTCCTGCGGGGATGCCCATTCTACTCATATGATACCGGTGCCTCAGTCCTACTGGAGCACTCGGGGATAGGGGGTACCGCTATCTGCAAGCAAAGACCCATGCCTTGGCGGAGCACCAACAGCACTTGCTAGAGTACTCGAGTATTGTACTGGTAATCGAGCAAGTTATCGTTGATTACGAGTGAGCAGATTACGGGCTCATCATGTCCACTGTAGCACTCACTACTCGAGTACCGTGCTGTACTCGAGTACTAGTACGAGCACTCGTACTGTACCCCCCATCATGCTCGTGCATCCACCATTTTGGTAATCTGGATCATCACACGTGATGAAGCGGGAGCACCTCCACAATTTCTTTGTGAGAGCCCCATCTCAATCCGATTGTCTCCTGGGCCCCGGGGGAACAGGCATCCTGCCGTATCGCACAGTGCTCGAGTACCGGTACCGTACCGTATCATACAAGCACTCGCGAGGCACAGCGACATCAAGCAAACATCGACATTGGGAACCTTCCTTGCACATTACCCGCGTAAATGTCAGTACTGGCGTCGTACCTTTTACCTGGTACAAAGCCCGGGACCTGCAGCTCTCCAGACCCCCCCGAGCTGGGAACCAAAACCATCCGTTTTCAATCCTGCCGCAAACACGCAAACGGATAATACCTTTATATTCTTATGACCCTCTTCGAACAAACTTCATTCCGCCGAGCCATGGCCGCCCTAACGCTCAAGAAGCCCTCGCTCGAGAAACGGTGTGGCACAGCTAATTAAAGGACAGATAGAGGGAGGGTGCTCGCAAAGGATTGTATTGAGCAAGTAAAAGCTAGATTCCCCGCTTCAGTACCCTTAAACGTCCTTAGTGCCACAATAGAAACAGGAACTGAGAGGATAGTTAGCACATTATCGTATCGACGAACCTTCCAACCCACAGGTCAACAGCTTCGTCGGTGAATATTGCCCCGAGGCTGGAGTTCGGGATTCCATTATAAAGTACCGGTATTCGGAAATATTGGGAGCGACGAGCTGGCCTTGGTTAACTTCTCGCAAATCCGAGTTGCGCGCACACGCACCCACACACCCACATTCACACACACACACACGCCCTCTCTCTTTTTCCCTCTCCCTCTCTCTCTCTCTCTACGGTGCCGTGAAAACTATCCCGCAAAGGCTCTTCCCCGAACGATCATACACTCCTCAACCTCTCACGCACATGGGTTGTTATTCCTAACGAAATCATAAGCAACGGGTAGTAGTGCTGTGCGGCATCCTATCGGTGCTCGTAGCACGATAGCAATCGAACTCCTGGTGTCATATTATTATTTCGGTGCTGGTATCATACCTGTTCCGGTACCGTACAATCCTCTACGGCGTCCAGGGCCTTCAGAAGAAACCCTGATCGTTCTCTGGAATAACCCCACTTGGGCCGCGCTGCGCACGCAACTTGTCGCACACCGAAGCCTTGCAACCTAACCTAAACCATAACCCAACTTACCCACCCCTCTGGCAGCACAAGCGAGCCTACCCCGACCGCCACACCCACCCGCCACCCACCCCCACCACCACAGGCTGAACTATCATACAAGGCCCGCCATTGTACGGTACTCGTACCCTAACATACCGGCACAGCGCACACCAGTCACGCTCCCAGAATTTTGTTACCAGAGCCAGGGGTTCCGGTGGCTTGTGAATTCTAAAACCAAGCATTCGACTCTTTCCTTTTTCCTCCTCCTTACGTAACTCGCCAACCTATCCGGGTTCTACTTCAAACCGAGCGCCTCATACGCACAATCTTCCTCATCACGTGAGCCAGATAACTTACCCTCTCCTCCACTCGTTCCCCAAGTTAACCCCAAATGAACAGTTCCGGGTTGGCTCCGCAATACAAGGCGCCATCTGACGGAAGAATGTCGGAAAATACAGGCAGAGCCCTTCCCGCACCCTCGCCACGGGCACGTACCGTGGCCGAGATTAGGGAAAGGTTGCTGCTAAATCGGAGGGCAACCGATGAGAAAATAAGGTCGGCAAGGATGTCTAGGGATGCATTGAGGACTCCAATCGGAGTTCCGAGGAGTGCGCTCGAAAGCCCATCACTAGGAAACTCTCCCCTAGCCCTAAAATCTGAACGAGCTGGGTCGTTTTCCAATAACTACTCTAACCCGGCCATGTTTGGTTCGCCGAATTTAGGCGCTGAGGAATACCTTCTTGGATTACCATTAGGCACTGATTCTTCCTCAAATGGGGTCGCTCAGAGAGCTGCATACATTAGCGCAATTACTGCGAAATCTGAAATGATTGACAAATTCCTAAATCACCCGTTTCCCGCACCCGAGGAACTCGCTGGAGAGATGGATAAGTTGGTTGCTGAATGCCGTTTGATTGCCGTTCACCCCGACCTCCCTTACACGGAGATCAATCCAAGGGATGTGGATTTCGAGAAGGAGTCTAAATCCTATATAGCCATGAGCCCAAAGTTTTCGTTTCTGAAAAAGCTCTTTGACTTTATATCCGAGTTGTCTATTAAGGTTGAAATTGTGGCTAGCCCTGGCAGGACGATTGTGAGTTTTGACTTTTGTTGGTATTGCTGGCCTGGCTAACCTGGCTCATAGGATATGCTCGAGATATTCTTTCGAGGCATCAGAGTGCACTGCACACGTCGCGACAGACTTAGTCAACTCCCCCGGCTTCCAGCCAGTGAACAGAGAGGCTTTAGCAAAGTGGCACTGCTCCCATCGGCCAAGAGCGGCGCGGTAGTGGTGAGTCTTGTTCTCTTGACAGAAGGTTCTGGTGATACTAAGATATTTTAGGTGAGCGCGGATTTGGTCATCGCTATGGATTCGACCTTTGTTGCAGATGTTCCAGAGGTAGTCCGTGTTCGAAAGAGCTTGTTTGTCGTGGGAAAGTTGGCCCCAGTTATCCGCCTTGTTTCACTCAATACACTGGAGCATATCGAGCTGTGCTATAAAGACTCCGAGAGCCGGTACCCGGCGCTGTATACATATATTGAAACAACGAAGAACCTGCTACATGATACAGGAATCTTGGCAGATTCCTACAAACCGACGTTCGCCGCTGCAGTACCCAACACCGCCAAGTGGCTCTCGAAAACCCCAATTGAAGGGGCCCCAAAGCTCGAAGGGTTCCCGTTGTTGCCAATCGCCGCACGTTTGCCTCAAACCCAAAGCCCAGAATTACACGATAAGCGCAAGCGAGAGGTATGTGTCTATATACATATCCTCTTATCCGATCTCCGTAGGGCATGAATGATTTCCACTAATCGAATACAGGGTGAACCCTCTGCGGAGCAGTCCCCCGGACCGTCGCCACCAGCAACAATACAAACCAAACGCTTGAGGATAGCCGGCCCCATTAATTCTCCTACCACTTCCTCACCGATCCAACAAGTGGGTACCGCCACTCCTTCCAAAGATCAAATTCCACTCCAACCCACTCCTCCGGCAGAAATGGAGACTCATTTACCTAGTTCTTCGATGCAAATTGACGGAGATGCTGTTGGAGCAACTGGAGCCATGGATGACGAGCCTCCTAGATCGTGGGTATATATCACAGAGGAGGTGGTTGACAAAATGGTGGGCGGATTCTACTATCCCTAGGGTTGCTCGGTTGCTCGGTTGCTGACTGTCGAATAGGAACCGGCGGATTTGAAGAAGACATTGAAAGCAGGGAAGCATGCGTTGCAAGAATGGAAACACTTTGCACTCCTCACACAAGAAACCGTCAGGAAACAGAGAGAGATTTTTACGGCTCTCCAGGCTGAGAAGGATGGTTTGGTGAGGTCATTGTCGAGAGCCGAAGCAAGAGAAAAGCGCCTAGACTCTGAGATTTCGAAGCTGCGAGACGATTTGAAGCAAGCAAATTCAGACATGCAGAGGGCCAAGGCAGATTTGTCCTCAGCTGCTGATCCGCTCCCAATCATAGGCCAGTTGCGTGATGAGAATGAGCAGTTGCGAAAGAAGCTAGAATCGATGGATAGGCGGGAGAAGGTCAAGGAGGAAGAGTTCGAGTTCCTTCGCGAGCAATACCAGAACGCAACCTCGCGTGGGGTAGAGTTAAGGAAGGACTTGGACCAGGCTCAGGCCGACAATGTTGTCCTCCAAAGGAGGGCAGCGGCGACTGTCAAGGAATTTCACCAGGCACACATGTCCAGCCAGTTGGATAATTACAAGAGCGAGGTTGCCAGCCTGAAGTCAAAACTTGCTGAGAGAGAAACCCGACTTCTCCGGCTGGAGGAGCGCGCGAGTGGAATCCCTGTTACTAGAGGGCGTGCACTTCCTGTGGACAGAGCAGCAGCCACTACTCCCACGGTTTCCCACCAACCCGAGCCTGTTTCCCAAGGTCCAACAACTCGAACTGAGAGATCCACCAACCCACTTCCTTAATCGATGCTTACGTCTGCACCACACCCCGCCGCATATTTCACCTCCATTTCATTTGTTTTGGTTCGGGAAGTCTCATTGTCTAGTGTATTTTTCATACAGGCGTACATGGCTGGTAGAGATGGGTCGTAAATTCGCTTTCGCTCCCTTTCTTCTACTTTTGTATCCTCTCACGATGGGTTTCCTTTGATGCCTCTTTCTTACCTCTCATTTTCTTTTTCGGTGGCTACTCTTACTGGCGTCTGCGTACATGGCATTACATTTTTCTTTACTTTTCCTCCCCGCACGAGTATTGTACGAGGTGTTTGTACTATACCAATTTCTGTGGAGCGGTAGTATTACTTTAGGGATCTGTGCATCAAATTACCTGGTCTAGCTAGCTATACTCGAGTATAATGAGAGAGCCTTTTTCACCTTCTTTCTTTCCTCTTTTCTCAACCCCCCCAATCCCAGTAATTATTCCATAGTAGGGTGTTCCTGTTTTCAGCTTGTCCCTTGGCCTACAATTGCTCCTATGGAATCCATCACATTTCTCTTTCCGATCCAACTTGCCCGTCCACCCGTTCGCGGATAGGATAATGGGAGGCACTTTAGAGGGGACCAACATGGATAATGATCAACCCACGTCCCAGGTCCCAAGTCAAAAACCAGGAGAAAAAAACAAACAAGTTCCTTCCTTTCCTTCCACGATGACCTGGCTTGGCTTACCCCATCTATCCATCCTAATCCAATACCAGTACCATGCATACACTACCTTTCTTGTACGAGTACAAGTACCGTACCCCGGAATTTGCTCGAGTGCTCACTCGTTCACGCACTCTCAAATACGCAGGTATGTCAGTCATTTACCTACTCCACCGATTAGTACGTTGTACAACCCCCCCCCTCCCCCCAAAAAAATAAAAGAAGGAGATAAAGGTAAAGAGAAAGAGAAGGAAAGGAAGCAACCTTAAGGTTGATGGTCTAGAGTATGAGGCTTCTAACCGTCAACGCGGACGAGATTATCACTTTGAAGATGGGACGGAGGGGGGGGGCGGTCCACAGAATGTGTGCTGTGGGATCGTGGGGCGATTATTGGGCTAATTCGAAGTGCGGAGAGGAGTACCGTAGAAGGTCAAAGCGGCAACGGCGGCAGCGACGATATAGTGGAAGGGAAGGGGGAGGTATTTCTCCACACAGGCCATCCTAATTGGAGTCATCATCGCCCTTTTGGTGATGGGAAAAGGACGAGCATTTGGTCGTGGAGATTTTGAGGCTTGGGATACATTGAGACGGGATGGAATTGGAATTGGGCCAGGGGTAATTGTGGGTGTGGATCGAGATGGGAATCTTGCAGGTGAGCGGATGTGGGGCGGTTCACCTTGAGTGGATTTTACCAATTCACGGTTCAGGCATGGTATGGTCTCGTATTGTTCTACCGGTAGTTTGTGGGAGGAATGACTACATTTACTCACTCGCAGGATCACAATTGGGAAACGGCAGTATCTTGAATCCCCTGAGCCAAAGAAAAAAGAAAAAGAAAAAACGAAAACTCCCTATCACAAACCCCCCACACTGCACTGGCCCGCAATAAATCACAGATTAGCACTCGTGCCAAACCGGGTTCAATCCATTCGCTTTCCTCCCTTCCCGGTCTTGGCGCTTGCCCAAACCCGGTACTTGTACGGATACAATCATACTGACGAATATTCCCCCTCTAACTACCGTACCGTATTCGTGCCCAAGTTAACTGCGCTGGATCCACCACATTCGCCAATGCCCATCCATCGCCGTCCTCTCCATCATACAAGCAGGCAGGTATCCTACCGATACCATAAGGAAACCAGGAAGATCACCGCCATTGCCAAGACGTTATTCCAACTCGATCCACTGATGGAGTAAGGTGCTTAAGCTGGCATAAGATCGGATCGTTCGCTACTCCTTTCTTGCCCCCTTCCTAATTACCTGGTGGAGGGTTCGTGCGAAAAAAGGGTCCCTCCACCACCCGGGTGCCGATCATGACGTTGGTGGGCTTATTTTCGCTTTCTCCTTCGGGTTCCAGGACGTCAAGCAAGGAGTGGATGGAAGCACCATGGAAAAGGTGAAATCTGCCATGTTCGGATTGGTTTCGCTGTGGCGGGAGAACGGATGTGAATGATGAGGGGTGGGTGGTAAGGTTTGTTATGGGAGTACCGTTATCGCTCGCTGTTATCGCGATACAGTACTTGGCGTTATTGAGTGGATCGCCTTTCGATATGGTGGTTTTATCAGAGGAAGGAAAATATACAACTATTGTTATCTCTGTCCTTCTGGCTAAAGACGGCGTATTGGAGAAGGAGGGGGGCGTGCCCGGGCTTTCGGGGGTAGGCCTTTGAATATTTTCCACTTGCTTTGGAAGGAGGGAATCAGGAGGGAAGAAGTCTTGCGAATGATGTTCGATAGTTTGTTTCGTTCGACGCCAACTGCACCATACAATGCGATATCACTCCCTACCCGCTACTGTCAATCAAGAAAGGGACTACTTAATAAACCTACTGGTACTACAAGTCTAGTATCACGACCACTGTCGCCTACCTCTAACCACCACCACCACACCACCACCGCCCTCACTCCAACCAACGGCCAAAATGACCAACTCAAGACCCCACTCCTCGGAAAAGCCCTGCCTAAACGGCGGCGAACACCCCCCCTCCGCCACCACCTCAACCTCCCCTCACCCTTCGTCACAAGATGACCCCCGCCAGAAATACGCCCGGTACCTCTCCTCCCTATCCTATCCAGAGCCTAAGCTAACACTATGCTGCGGGCGCCAGTATCCTATACGAACACACCCGCCGCCAAATGGACATAGCCGCACACTCGATCCATGCCGAACCCACGTCGTCGTTGTCATCGCCATCGACATCCAGTGGTAGTCGGGCGAGTATATCGTCTCGTGAAGGGCATAATTCTGCTACTGTTGCTTGATTGATTACGGAGTTTCCTTGTGCCTTGTATCAGTTGGTTCTTGTAGTTACTGTTAAAAGGGCTTGGGGTCTGTTCGTTTATTTGCCGATTGATTGGCTGTGGGCTGATTTCTGGCGTTATTCCCCCTTTATATGTTTGCTCTGCCTGTTTGCCTGGTTTTCCGGGTCCCTTGACATAAAGTGCGGGGGTTTTTAATTTTCTTTTTCTCGTTATCGGAATCTCTATTATTGGTGGATGGATGAGTGGTCTATCAATAGAATGAGATAAAAGCTCTCTTTCCTTTTGTATTATTGAGAAAAATGTCGCCCTTCCACCAATTCAGCTCCAATTCTCCCATACCCACTCCGAAAAAAGCAATGCCATTTTCGATGTGCTTTGCATTTTTTCCTTTTTTTCCCCCCCTCCGATCAATAAGGTGACTTTCCTTCTTCTCTCCTTCCTATTGGCTTGCTGGGTTGGTATGACAGAGTGTCGGTACAGGACGAGTACCGGTACTGGACTCGACGTTTTCCAGAGCATCCAGATCGTGGGATACGTACCCGTCACGGCACTTCCCGCAAAATCAGGTGCCTTGAAAGCACCAATTGTGGAACTTTAGTAAACGAGAAGCATGGTACGGCGCTCCCGCTGAGAGCGCTCATCGTCACTCGCTCATTCAACAGCGCCGCATCAGAATGCAAATCTCCGTCGCGTGCATCTAACAACCCGCTATTCAATCATTACAGAATCGGAGGAGGGTGAGAATACTCATTCACCACGAGCGATGTACTCGAGTATTGGAACCCTGGGTGTTCTCCTGCAGGCTTGGGTTCGTGGGTAAACATCCGAAGTCGGCGATCTTTAGTTTATGACATCTACCTTCCCTCCATGGCTACTACACATACCGTACTCCTATAAATTTTCGGCCTTTCAGCGGAGTTTGTAAATAAGGCGATTCCTCTGCGCGCTCGACAAGGTGCTGCTTAACTGATAGGTTAAAACCCAGGCCCTGGATATTTAGTATGGTGCATGCCGCTTATACACAGCACCAAGGCCGATGCAATGGGGAAGCTTTGGGGTTTGATTTTTACATGACTTAGGGGGCTCCGGGTGTGCATTCTTAGGGGTTTGTGGTATTTTATTTCATAATAATATTATTATGAGATATGGCATGTATGACATGGTAATAATATTATAAGGCCCTGTTTGGCATGCCACCATAAAAAGAAATGCTATTTTTCATGAAAATGGCTTTAAAGCTGTTTTTAAAAAAATGCCTTTTTTCAGAAAATTTAATAATCATGTTTGGCAATGGTTTCTCATTTTTCAGGGTTTAGATCTATAATTAAAAAAATACTAAATAATAGGTTTAAATTAAGTAAACCTAAATTCTGGCACTCTTTTTATTGTTATGACAAATTGGTGGCTTGGCCAAATTTTCTAAAAGTATATATTGAAAATATTCAACTCAGCTAAACCAGTATAATACACCTATCCCTTAAGTACCTTATGCTCGCAGAGATACCTTGACTATCAGATATCTTCTTAGACATACTCTGGCATACCAACCTAGTCCACCACTTAACTTTAGAGTCTCATATATGGGTAAAGACATAGATTGCTATAGTTTATTATTGCAGGATCATTATATTGTACTCTTCATAAATCAGTCTTGAACTAATTAGAATATTTACTAAAATCATATACAATTTTTTTTGAATTATTATCATTTTCATAATACTTGTATCAGTCATATCATTGCTTTTTTATTTCTATTTTATCTTTCTATTATACCCTAATACCCTACATGTTTTACAAAAAAA